CAGAAGATGACAGGAAGTGATGGTGTTTTGAATTATCACATGAACATTTTTATTCACGTGTGAATTAAATTGTTTTTTATTATTAAATGAAAACAGTGATTGTGAAATAGTTTTTTTTACATTATCAAAATATCAACAAAGTTTTGCACACATTTGTAATGGAAACACAGCTAATCAATCTTTTTTGTCCTACTGCAACAAATGTAAACAGACAATATACTCTTATTTATTTTAACTGGAACAAATGAGATTAAGATTGGATTTTTCACAAAATATGTATTAAACCTAAAGGGACAATTGTATTAAAGTCGATAAACAATGTGTCTGCTTATAAACTTAAAATTGGTTCTTGATGTTCAGTAGTTTTTTATTTTAATGTTTCATCACAAACACTGTAAAATCAGATTTTTAAACTTTGTAGTTGACTTTAGGAAAAGCGTTTCTCCCTCCACCAAATTTACAGAAAGCAAAGAAAAGGCTGATAAAAAGAAACGAACGGATTCCTCTTGCTGTCTGAAGTTAAATCACACGAAACCTTGTGTCAGATACAATCACCAACATTGTTTCTTTTCCTAAATGCTGTAAAACTATTTAGAGATTTTTTTTTACTTTCTTTGAACATTGTGTTTGAGCATTTCATTTATCTTAACAGGATTTGTTTGAATTGTTTCAGTGTAATAATATTTATTACTCCTTCTGATGATTTATGGATCATCTTATATTTTATACGTTAAAGTTATTAAAATTGCATGATTTTTAAAATTAAATTAGTGTTTTGTTCAGTCAGATCTAGAGGGAGATATTTCAAAACATGAAATTTTGTTATTTTTTAGTTTTCTTTACCCCCATAAAAGGCCAAAAACATATAAATTATGTCATATAGTATTGAATTTATTTGTGTTTTTATCTCCAAAGTGTTGCTGGAAAAGTTTAAACAGCTTGAATTTTTCTGTGGATCAAGTGTTTGAACCCTGAACTCTTACTGTCGTCAGAGTGAAGATTTCTGAAGAGTCGTTTTCCCGTCAAACTGGTTTCACTGTAGTTTCAAACGAGGCTCAATATTTTCTGAAAACATTATTAATAATGTGAGTTTCTAATCCCAGTTTAACCCCAGTTGGATAACCAGCTGCAGCTATTCGTCCTCCTGCAGCTGCAGATAAATCCTCCTGGTTCATCATGTTTGAGCTGCTTTCATTCGTTTTGGATCCAGCCGCGCCTGCGATGGAGAAGAATCTGCGGGTTTTTGCATTGCAGCGTGTGGATGAATATGAATCGGCATTCTCCATCAGTCACCTTCTGACTTCCAGTTTTCCTCTTAATGCTTCCCTGCAGCTGCAGGTTCCTGCTTTTATCGCAGAAACATAAACATGGTCTGTATCGACAAACAGCAGGACGGTAACATCACACACACCTCTGCTGCTCTGCTGAACCTAATTCAGTCTCCCTCGCTCACCTTCTTCTTTTATTGGCTCTTCTATCTCCCAAACTGCGCAGCGCCTCAGATTACTGCTGTGAGACGGGCCGGCAGGTCCAGGCCGGGTGGAGACGCTCTGAAAATCACCACCTGCACCAACGCGCCGTCGCTGGCGTCTTCTCGCACATGATCAGACGTCCCAGCAGCTCTTTTCTAATTAGCAGTAGGGTGAGCTAACTGTGGCGCGGCGCTGCAGGAGGTGTGGCCCGCCGCCTTGTTTCTGCGCTTCTTTTTTGGTTCGCACAGCAGGTGTGACACACCTGCGGTTCGCGAATGTGAGCGTTTTTTCTAAGGTATGCAAGTTCATTTGATCCTTTTAAAAAGGAAAAATAATCTGTTTTTATGAGGAAAAACACCATAAAGGTGAAGAATCATGATTATTGTGTGAAATTTAAGCACAAAATGCAGCAATTTTAGACCAAATATTCACACAGGATGCAGAGGCGATAACTGTTGAAACAAAATCGAGACAAAATAAAAGTTTTAATCCACATACATCTCTAATATCTGGTTAAATATTTTAACCGTAGTTTTTAGTACTCATTACCAAACTTCTGGCATCATTTTGATAATTGGTCATTATTGTCATAAGCAAGTTGTATGTTGTTCAGTTTGTGTGAACAAAACTTAAACTGGACTTGTTTCTCAGGCGAGCTCGGACACCACGCTCCTTTATTTTGGAATTGATGTGTGAAAAAGTGAGCAAAACTCACAAATGATGAAAAATTTTTTGTAAATTAGTTTTGTCTCATTTGAAATGGACTGAAATATTTGCATAGAAACTCGACAAAAGTTACTTGGTGAAATACTTTTCAAAGTGTAAAGAACATCTTACCAAAGCAATAAATTAGCTTTAGAGGCAAAAGCTAAATCTCAGCTTGGGGACTGTTATTGTTGTCATAGCAACTGCAGTTGGTTACGGACCCCTACCAAAATGGCCGCCGGACCCGGGAAGAGTGGCGTCATGCCAGAACTATGTAACGCTTGGTGCCATGCTTACGTGTCACTGCAACGGTCAAAAAGTTTGTCACAGAATCAAATGATCAACTTAGTATTTAAACGTTACGTCACCAGACGGAACAAAATATAAAGTTAAGAGGAAATTTAGGTATTTCCAGGACCAAAATGACAATGATTCATATAAGTAACAAAAATAACATAAGGCAAAAGAAAATTCTTATCAGTTTTTTTCAAAGTAAAACTTATGAAACTTTAACAGAAACTGCTGTGTGTTTCTGCGTCTTTCATTCAGTGGGCAGGAAATCCAGAAATTTTATTCCCTAAACAGTTACTCAAGTGAGTGTAAGTAGTTATTACCAAACTCTGGAAATGCAGGTTGGTGGTCCGGCTTGTCTTCGGACCAGAACCGGGGCTTTAAGGTGGCGGCGCAGGCCATGACTCAGACTCCTGCATGTTGGCGCCAACAGGTTGGGCGGTGTGACGCGTGTTTCCAGGTCTGCTGTCATCAGGGATTAGTTCCCCTCATGTCCCAGATTGGAGCGCTTTAAACGGGAAGATCTCCTTTTATCTCCATCCAGCTCATTGATAGTCACGGTTCTTCACCTCTGCGCGTCGCCGTCTGCCTGGCGGTTCCTTTGCTTTCTGATAAAGACGCTCTTTCACAGGCTGGTCTTAGTTTAGCATCTTTTAAAGGAATAAAAACGCGTCTGCAGACGGATGTTTTAAGGATTTCTGGGTTAAAACCATCAAACGGGTCCAGAATCAGGGAGACGAATAAAAAAAACCAACTTGATTCAGAGCATTATTATAAAAATCCATCCATCCATCCATCCATCCATCCATCCATCCATCCATCCATCCATCCATCCATCCATCCATCCATCCATCCATCCATCCATCCATCCATCCATCCATCCATCCATCCATCCATCTTTTCCTTTCATCTCTCCACCTGTCAGGTCTAATTAGGTTCATCAACAGTTTAGATGAAAATCTCTTCTTACTATTAAATGCATTTATCTCGTCTCCCAGCTGAATATCACCAAGTTTCTATTAAACGTCCGTCTGGTTGGTTTAATTATTTCCCTGCTGGCAGCTTGGATGTTCGGTCTACCAACATGATTTACTCTTCATGCTTCCAGAGACAACCAGCCGAACATCTGCTGCAGACGGAGATACATTTCAGGCTCCATAATTCAGCACTTTGTTGGCGTTTCCACCACTTCCTCCTCATTTTCACTTCATAATTAAAAGCTGCTTTAAGCGGGAGAAGAAACGCAACACTCAAGCCTGGAAAACATCAGTCTGTTTATATCTGGTTTGATTTAATAGACGCTAAAATTAATTTTCAATGGAGTCGATGCAGACTGAAGACGACCAGCATGCAGCTGGCGACAGTAGGAAGGAAAAATGAAGAGTTTGTCTTTAGTAAAGCTAGATTTAAGGTTCTGGTCACTGAAAATGTGTCAAAATGCTGGCCACTGGTTGGCTGCACTCAGGGGGGCGGAGTCACTAGAATCCCTTTATAATAATTCTCAGCAGCGACTGAGCGTGTGTGGATATTTACACATGTTAGTCTATCTATTAGTCAGGCTAATGTTTGTTTTTGGCTCGGGTTTAGATTATTCAACTTCTTTATGTTTATTTCACGCTTTGACCACTAGAGTGGCCTCACAGCTCTTCTACTTGTCTGTATTGTTAACAGTGAAATTGGTTTGGGGTTAATTGGCCTCAGCAGCTCATCAGGGGTTAATCCAGTGGGTTCGATTTGAAAACTCCTTCCACTGACAGGAGGAGGTTTTTGGAAAATGTGCCGAACGTCCAACAGGTCAAAATCCTCCACAGCTCAGAGGAATCATTGTTCCGGCTAGATTTTAATGAGTGTGTGTGTGTGTGTGTGTGTGTGTGTGTGTGTGTGTGTGTGTGTGTGTGTGTGTGTGTGTGTGTGTGTGTGTGTGTGTGTGTGTGTGTGTGTGTGTGTGTGTGTGTGTGTGTGTGTGTGTGTGTGTGTGTGTATTTGGGGGTCTCAGCCTGGGAGGGAGTGTTATCTTTGTCTTAATCAGCCTTGAACAGAGGGAAAAGGAGGGCAGGCTCTGCCTCCTTCTCTCTCTTTGGATCTGTAATAAGCCTTCTTGCTCTAAATCCTTTAATCTGAGCAGGAATGAAGGCCATATCTCTGTCTTCTGGCTCCAGAGAACAATCACTCTCTCTCTCACACACATACACATCATTTCACCAAACACCAGCCTTGTTAACAACGGGGAACTCTTTCTGTCTGTATGTATTTGTACTGTATGTATTTCTGAGGGATAGAGTGAAGAAAATCTCCCAAACTTTTTAAGTCAGCAGATGAAAATAGTTAAATGTTTGAACAGAAACAAACTGATGTTCGTTTGTGAGAAGCTTAAGCTGAAAATCTGCAGGATTGGCTGCGATTTGCTTCCCGCTTCGGTGCCTCCAGGCTGCTTTAAAACTGATGAATTTAACAGAAAGTTTCTCCTAAATGATTTGTTTGTTTTTGTTTTCCAGACTAATTTTTTCCTCTTTTTGTGTTTATTTTTCGCAGGCTCGACTCGTGGACTAATCTGCCCTTCAGACTGAAGCTGTGATTAGCCTGAATTACGAGGTGATTAATAATCCAATTGTTAAATGAATTACTTCCTGTTTGCTTATCTGAAGTGGTTTTCATTTCCATTGTGGATTTATGGTTAATAATGAAATAAAATGATCGGGATTGTTGGCAGGATGAACTGCCGGCTGCTTTTATCTCCTAACTCTCTCCAGCAGTGACAGTAATTACGCTTTCGATGGTTTAACCGGCAGCAGCAGAGCAGGTGGGAGGATAAGAAGTCTTTTCATGCAAGGAGGAAAAATAGGATTCATCTTTTTCGCTGCAGAGTTCCTTCACAACCCTAAAACACATCGAACAATATGGAGTTATTTGGGGATTTTTGGAGCTTTGATGGAAGCAGCTCGACTCCAAATTGATCATTTTTCTCCTCTGACTGATCCATTATGTTCATCACTGATGCATTTGTATAATTAGATCTTTTCATAACTTTTCCAATAATTATGGCTTTCATTAAATCTTACATATGTCAAGAAAATCCAACTTAAACAGCTTATTTCACGTTATATTAACAGTTTATAACATAAAATGAAGATAAGTGCACACAGGATATAAAAGCTTCCAGCTGTATTGGAAACGCTGCAGAATAAAAACCGAAAACTTTTCAAAAATATGTAAAAATTCAGTTTGTAACAGTTTTCATGTTGTTAAATAGAGACAGGACAGCAGTGGGATTCATCTGTTTGAAATAATGTAATTATGAAAAAGCAAATGTATTTCACCCAATTTCAGTTTGAGCATCAATAAATAACTCTAGTGCCTGGTGGATCTAATTAGCATCGTAGATAAATTTACACTATTTATAGCTCCAGTGTTTAAAATGATTAAAGTAAGTTTAAAAAAAATTTTTTTTTTATAAAAACAGAAGTGGTGCAGCATTTCTCTACTGCTCAGTTGATTTTCTGTTGGAATCAAATCTGATGATTTATTTTTTTATCATAACTGGTTCAGCAGGAGAAGAAAGCAGATGACAGATTTAACTAAACGCCAACCTTTGACTCATAAACCCACAGAAATCTGATGTCGTTTTATTCAACCTGAAGCTGTTTTGTCGCCAAAGTTTCACATTATCAGCAGATAAACAAATAAAACTCCACTGCTTTGTTTTGGGAGCTGATTGATTCATTCCAGCTCAAATCAACTCTGACGTCCTTTGATCCGGTAAAGGCAGCAACAGAGCACCTGTCAGCTCCGGGTTTCTCCCTCCCTCAAATCCCAGTTTCATCTTTTCATGTTAAACGTCTCGATCTGGGCCCGGCCCACTGAGGGCTTCAGTCACAACATCATAAGAACTTCAAAAAGAGTCGATGTCGGGGCGCGCCAACGGCGTTTCAAACACGAGCCGAGCGTCATCGGGAAGAGCGACGGCTTCTCTGGCGGGAACGCTGACAGATGTGCGGATTTCAGGTTCTCTGCTCAGGTTTTGATAATTAAAGCAGCTGCAGGTTCTGGTGCTGAAATGTCGGGTTCGTCACTCGGTCCGGCACCAAATTACATTTACATATCTGTCTGCAAATTTACCGACACGAGTTGGAATCATGTTTTTTTCTGCTCTCTTTACTCGCGGCTCAGTAGAAACACGTCTAGTTATTGATCCAAGTCATATTTATTTAAGGAGATTGATTCCCGTCCTTCCCGCCGCTCCAAGGTTCTCTATTTGTTCCCGAGTGATTAAAGAATAAATTTAGTTTAGTAAACTAAACTAAATGTAGTTTAGTTTGCTGATCCAGGCTTTTGAAGTTTTTCCTGCAAGGCTCCAGGAAGCAGGAAAAACTTCAAAAGCCTGAAAAAATATTAATACTCCAAAGATTCCCAATTGGATTTAGGAGTCTACTTTAACTAGACCAAACATCTGCAACCCTTGGAATCCAAACATGCCCACATTCCTTCCGTACAATACCAATTTTATTGATAAGCACTTCAAACACAGTCGCATAAAATACATATGATCAATTATATTTGATGATTAATAAGCAAAGTAATATATAAAATAGTAAAAAATAACAAAGTCAGAAAGTCACAAAACTTGTTTAAAGCCACAAATTTTACAGAGCCTTTTATAAAAAAAACTCAACTTATAATTTTTGGTAATTATCTGCTATAAGAAGTTTTTCATTTTTGAAAAATTACTGTATTCATATTTTTTTGTTGTTTTGAAATGAGAAACACATAAAAATAGGACCTCTGTCTCTTTAAGAAACTCCTGCTCTATCCTATCAGTACCAGTAATCAGGAAAGTGCTTTAATCTTTTCGTATAAATGTATTAAATTGCACATATAAAAAGTTTGGTCCAGTTAACATTGGCTAAATAATCCTAACGTCTATATATTTAGGTTTCTAAAAGCTGAAATTCGTTTTTTTAACAAGGAGCAACAGAATCATTGAGTTCTGGTTTCTTGTTTGGCTTAAAAACTTTCTTATCATGTTAAATATTTCCATCTCTGTAGTAACTGGTAGCAAACTGGTTGACCGTTTTCCTTTTTGTTGCACCACTGGTGTGAGTGGCCCTCTGTTTTCATCTCTCCTCCCAACAGTCGGCCTTTGTTCTGATGCCGACCCGACTCTGTTTCTGCTCTCTGTGCCGCTGCCCTGCTGAGATGTCACCAACTTGCACTTCGCAAGCAGAACTTTCAATGACAGCCTGCTTTAGAGTTGATTTATCTGCAGAAGCATAAATGAAGCAGTTCATCAACCCTCCTGCCATTTTCCTCAGTTGAACTCTGGTTTTATTTGGCAGGATGTTTGTCCCTTTGAGGATAAAATAAGGCGAAAAGACGCCGAGTCCGATTCAGAGCAAAACGTTTGTCAGGTTTAATGTTTGTTGTTGAAAACTAAAAATACATTTGACTCTTTTATTACCTGAATCTTTGGAGGGTTCACACTAAACTGAGACAAACCAGCCAAACCCTGTGAGCAGCCTGTTTCCCTCCTGGCCTGTGGGGGCGCTGCACCAAGAACCTAAAAATAGACACTGAGCGCAGCTTCCTTCTTCACCAAATGGAAACAAAAATGGAGTGAGGGACTGTGATCCATTTCTCCTGCTAGTGCTTGGCCAGCACATTTGTTTTGGTTATTTTTACCCAGAATGCCCTGCGCTGTTATTAGTTTTATCCAACGTAGCGAAGAAGCTCGACTAACCCTCCAGATTTGTTTGGTTTACTGCTGTGGAAGTTTTTCTGCTTATGTCCTGTTTTCTACGCTCAGCGCCACTTAGAGGTCAGGAGGTGTAATAACAGCGTTCTCTCTGTGTTTCCAATGTGGAGTCGGTCCAGTTTGACTTTCCTTCTCGCTCCTAAATTTTTATATCTTAGCAGAAGCTATCCAACTTCCATTAAACTGCCCTTACACTCATTAAGTTGCCATTTATTCCTATTTGTCATTAAGAACTCAATCCGTTCAGTTTTGATTTTACTTCTTGGAACCAAACATGGCGCCCGTCTCTGATGCTTTTTGTATGAATCCCTGCCTGCTGATAAATTTTATCGGTCCTTCCCTGTCGTTTCCACTCCACTGAATCGGTCCTTTTCACTTCTTATCTGAGCCGGAGAATAAATGGACTCCCTAAAGAAACTGCGGCCACTGAGTTGCTGCTTTCACAGACGGTGGCAGGGAAAGGAGTCAAAGCCTCAATGCATGACATGCCAGACACACAGGGCTGCAAATAACCTTTACTCTATCGATTATTCCAATGATTTATTGGATGAAAAAGTTTGCTCTACTTTATTTAACCACTTAAATGTATTTAAACTTTAGGAATTTGTAAAAAATGCAAACAAATAGTTCAAATCATTTTTAAATAAGAAAATAAACGTTTGAATGCATAACATTTAATGATTAGTTAAATGTTTAAAAAAAACACCTTAACTTAACATCAATGCAGTGTAGGGGTGATCTGTTCACTGTTTTTATTTGCAGAATATAAAGTTTGTGAAGCTAAGCTCGATTTTTTTTTATTTTAAATGCAAAATGCTTGTATTTTTTGTATAGTTTTTTTTTAAATTATTGCTTTATGTTCTTTTAGCAAATTGCCTTTTTCTGAGCTTGTATATTAGTTAATCGATTACTAAATTATTTGTTGAAATTATGGCAATTATTTCAACAATCGTGTCTCTCGTCTCAATCAGAGCTTGTAGCTGCCAATTACTTTCACGTAGGTGTTATATGTAAACATGGCAACCAGTTTTGTTTTTTTGTTTTTCTACAACTGGGAGTAGCTAATTAGCATCTCAAAACAATACCTGAACTTTGACCCCTAATGCCAGATGAGTTGAAAAAGTCTTTATGGACAAAGAACTGAGAGAGAAAGAGAAAATTCAAATCCTATCCCCGACTCCAACGTCTTCTAATCATCCAACCAGACAGAGATTTAAAGAGAAGCAGCAAAAGCAAAAGAGGTGGATTAGCAGAGCTGCCAACAACTGATTCTTCTTAAAGAAACATCAACAGGATTTTAATCTGTGTAAGCTTTAGTCTTGTTGCAACCAAGAAATACACAACCAAACACACGTCGCCTCGTTTTTCTGTGGCTTTTTCTTTCACCAGAAACCTTAAGTTTATCCTGACTCTTAAAGCTTCGGTTTGTAACTTTTATGAAAAATGTTTTTTATACATTCAGTTAAAACTGTCCTCATCTTGTGACAGTTTGACATAGAAAATTTGTGAAAAGATCGACGTCCTCCACGTCCTCCCCGAGTTGCTACTGCCACCTGCAGAAATGCACCAAAACAACCAATCAGAGCCAGGAGGAGGGTCTTAGTGCTGCCAATCATTCTCATGTATCTGCTGTGAACAACTTACCATTACAGGAAAACTCTGTTGTTTTTGGTGGCTATGCTAACTAGCCTTAGCATTCATGACAACCTAAACTAGCTGCAGCATTGCAGAGAGCAAAGGGGGTAGTGATTGGCAGCGCTAAGACCCGCCTCCTGGCTCTAATTGGTTGACACTTGGAGAAGGCAGTGGATTTTTTTATTTTCAAAGATTATGGTGACATAAAGGTACATTCTGCAGCTTTAATGTTGATTTAATATTAGAACCGAAAATGTTCTAAAATTAAACCGGCTGAGGCTCAGATTGGTTTATAAACACATTATTAAACAAATAATCATCAACCAAATCCACCACCGAGACATCAAATTAGCTTCTAATTAAAATAAGGATATTTTAAAAGTTAAAAGTTGGAGAAGTTTTGCTGAGGAGGAAAGTGATCAGACCAACCAAGCAGCTGTTCTCAGATCAGCACCGTTTCATCGCATGGGTTTTATTTTCCCCAGGAACTCCTCAGGTGCCGTTTGTTCCTCCAGACTGCGTCGCCTCTGCAGGACAAACTGTGTGTCTCTGGGCTGATGGAGGAGATTTCCTGTGTGTGTGTCGATAGATGAGCTCCAACTGCTGTGTGTGTCCGTCCTGTTTGCTTAGACTCCTTATTACCGCCAATAAGGAGTCCATTTCCCCCGGGGCTCCTCCAATCACAGCCACTGCGTTCCTCCAGCTCCGGCCAATCAGCATCCATGTTCCTCTGGCCCAATGTCATGAATAGTGAATGTTGCCCAGCGGTGGGCTTGAATGTAAATCAGACGTTTTGAACCGAAAGTTGAGGTGAATTCGACGATAATGAACAGTTTTGGTTGCAGGGAAGTGAATAATGAGGGACAAAATGGCGGCTGTCAGGAACAGCATTCAGTCAAGTTGGAACATTTCAGCAGCAAACATCAATAATTACCGTGAGAGTCAGTTATTATGAATTGAAGAGGGCTCTAACTCGGTGAGGTTCTGTCTCGATTTAAAGGAACTCAGTGTTTCGGCTGTTTTGCAGTTTGAACTGGATGATGTGCTCCCGCTTCCTGGTTTTAGTCAGAACGCCAGCAGCAGTTGAGGTCATAGTTCAGCCCTCATCTCTCTCTCCTTCATCTTCTTTATGGTGCACCTACAGCCTTGGCAGCGTCTCACCCCGCAGAGGAAAATATTAGAATCGTCTCCAGGCAGAAAGTAGACAACTTTCAACCACATTCATCAAATGCTTGCGACATCGGATGAGTTTTTTGAGACAAAATGTGATTGCCAGACAGAAAGAAGAAACATTCAATCAGCAGACTCAAACCGCGGTGGGCCTCAGATGTGCGCCGTCCCGGTGGGACGTCGAGTGTCAGAAAGCAGGGACTGTTTGAAGCGGTTCCCACAGGTTGGGATGTGGAGGGAGAAACAGGCGAGTGATGAAGCGACGACTGAAGGAACGAGGCTTAAGAAGGTTAGACAGGATCAGAAAATCTGCCAGGCTTTATTCCCCCGGCTGGAGCTTCAATACACATTCACTACCAACTTTTCAGCCAGAGCTGTTGACTTTTAAAGACTCCCATTCGTCTTGACTTGAGTTTTCTTTTAAAGTTTCCATGACCATGTTTGTACATTATTCCAGTTTTCTACCTAATATGGCTAGAAAACTGGCTTGCTGGTGTTCGGAGAAACGAAGGCAGATCTATTGGCAGATTTCTGTCTGACTCGTATAAATCATATTCTGATCATTCAGAATCACCTGATTGCTACAGATTAGCTTCTCTAACATTTGGTCTAGATCTCAGGAAGTTTTCATTGAACAGCTTTAGAAATGTGGGCTGTAGATGCTAACATTAGCATTAGCAACATGTTTAGCATAGAGATGCCATTTTAGGCCTAAATAGCTTAGCTGATAGGCTAACTCTCTTTAGCACAACTTGACAGTGGTCTTTTCCAGCGTCCAGTCAGATCAGTTTGAAGCAGAAATTAACCCCCACTGGGACCATCGTTGCTATTAGCTGATGTGCGTCTGATTTAATGGCGTACCAGAAACGCACAAAATCAAATGTTCCACTGGGAACTTTTGTATGTAAAAAAGGAAAAATCTGATTAATTGCGTTGAAATTTATTAATAAAAATTAAAGTCCTGACCCTAATTTGAAAGAAAGAACAAACCCATTTTGAGGGGAATAATTTAACTGCTACACCTGGAATAAAACTCAAGGTCCCTACATTATCTGTAGCGGTCCAGAACTTTATTTAGAACTTATTCCGCTTTATTGTCAAAATGTTTCATCCATTCATCCAAATGTCTTGAACGAGTCAAAAAGTCTTGAAAAATATTTGGTTAAAAAGTAGTAAATGTAAATGTTTCTCTACCCTGTCGTCGGTTTTCACATCAGAATTTTTCTCATCTTTAAAGCTGCTTAATCCAGCAGTTTGCACATTAAAAGTGTCACACACCTTTTCTCCCTTCAGGTAATTTCTTTGCTTAACTGTCGGAAGTGGAAATAATTTCCGGTTCTCAGCGTTGCCTGTCAGATCAGTCCATCCATCATTCAGTAAAAATCCTTTTCATCCTGGAAAACAGTGCAGCGATTTATAACGGTGAGCCGGCGGCACAAAGGCTTTATTCAGGCCGCTCATCTTTTAAGGAGTGATCCTTTTGTTTGCAGTAATTATCCTAAAACCTCATAATAACCCTCCACTGGTTTAATTATGTTTATGTAGAGGGGCAAGGTTTTTATCCTTAACAAGCTCTGATAGAGGGGCTTTACCTAAACGTTTCACATCCATAAAATCCCATCTGCTGTTTTCAAGAGAAACACAAACACACCTTCGACACAAACGGAGTTTACTGCAGCCCTGACAGCAGCCAGGCTGAACTGCAGGATGAAAAACGCTTCAGAGAGAAGCGGCTGGGACGGCTTAGGGAGGAAACACAAGACGATTTTAGCCCTTTGATGTCGCAGATCCTTAACAGGATGAGGCGGAGAACATACCTGCTGGGTTTGGCTTGTTTTAATGTTACAGGGAGAAAAGGTGTGACATTTAATGACAGCGACGGATTAGATTTATGATAAAAGTGTGAGGCTGACTCCAATAAGCTCAGAAGGTTTTTGGTTCACTGACTGAGAACATCCTGCAGCACAATTCAAAGATAAATTCAATTTGAAAATACTTTATCTTATTCCCTGTAATTATTGCCTTAAACAATAATGTTGTGATTTTCAGACCATTTCCAAGTAAAAGACCAATAAACTTGAATTTAGGAACATTTAACATTGGGACTGAAAAATAATTTAAATATCCATAATAAAAAAGAACCCAACACAAAAAAACAAATGTAAAAACCAGTTACAACCGAAGCTGACAGGCTTAGTCGACTAAGGAGCAGTTTGTTAAAAAAGAGTTTTAATCATTAATAACTTGGTTTTAATAAATGGACAATTCATAAATGCTTTTAATTTTTATTTAATGGTTCTATTTTCAGGATACGATTAGATATAGTAGTTGACCACTAGGGGCACTAGCTGATGTTTTTTTTTTGTTTTTGTTGCATTCTTACATTGATCCACTAGATGTCACTAAAACTCTAATTATTTAACAACCTGCTATTTTTGCGGTTTTGTCTTCCAGACCGATGGAGCGGTGGTGGGCGTGGCGGCTCACCGTGGTTGCGATGGTGACGGCTCACCTCGGCCCGTGCCGCGGCAGGGACCCGGAGTTTTCGTCCGCCATGCGGATCAACAACGTGGTGGCGGACCCCGCCACGGGCCGGCTGTACGTGGGCGCCGTCAACCACCTGTACCAGCTGGACGCCGACCTGGCGCTGGAGTCCAGCTACATAACTGGGCCCAAACTCGACAACCGGCAATGCACGCCGCCGATCATCGATACGTCCTGCGCGGACGCCCAGAACACGCCCAACCACAACAAGCTGCTGCTGCTCCACCCGGCCAGGAACCAGCTGGTGGTGTGCGGCAGCCTGTTCAGGGGCCTCTGCTCGCTCAGGAGCCTGGACAACGTGAAGACCGAAGTCTACTTCAACGACAACAAGGGCGAGAAGTCGTACGTGGCCAGCCCCGATGAGAACGTCTCCGTCGTGGGAGTGATGTCATACTACAAGAAAGACAAAGAAAACATCACCGTTTTCCTGGTGAGCAGGAGGCACAAGCTCCGCCCACTCCTCCAGGTTTACCAGAATAAAACAGAAATATTAGAGAATTAAGTTAAAATATTACAACAATAAAGTCATCATGATCTGACTTTGTTTAAGCTCCTAGCTTGTTGTATCCCCTTTCTGGCGTTATTTACATCGTTTGAGCTTCTGCTGCTTGATTTATAGAGCAGCGGCTTAATGGCAAAAGCAACAAAAGACGAGTTGCAACAGCGTCAATGCATCTCATCCTGATGGAGACGAGCTCTTATAGGGAAACTGGGTTTCTCCCAGTAAACCTCGCTGCTCAAAGGAACGATCCTGCTGCACTCGTATTATTGTTTATTTCTTATTTCTGACGCAAAAATCTGCTGATTTCGAAAATCAACAATTATATGCACAACTTTGAACATGAAGGATTTCCTCTAATCATCAAAATAAAATATAGAAGCTCAGCTAAATAGAAACGATCCCCTCTGATATTTCTCCAACAGCCCCACAGGGTGATGCAGCCGCCGCCGTGCTGGACTATATGTTGCAGTTTTCTGTAGTTTTAAAGCCTCTTTAGCTCAATATTTTTTTCAGAATGTTTACTCGCCAGCCAGAGGCCAAAAGATTGTTTGTATCAACTGGTCTTGTTTGGCATTAAAACAACTTAATTTAAGTTACATTTGCAATAATTTCAGTAAAATCTCTGCTGGATGTTTTTCTCCATCAGGTTGCTAAAGGCCACAGCGCCTATGACAGCATGAAGCTCATCTCTACCCGCCTCCTGGAGGAAGTGGACGAATTGGACATGTTCGAGAACATCATCGAGACCGCGGCGGTCCAGTCCAATCCCTTCAGCCCGAAATACGCGCACGACTTCCGCTTCAGCTTCAAAAGCGACGGCTACGTCTACTTCCTGTTTTCAAGGAAGCTCGACTCGCATAACCACAAGAACTTTACGTTCATCTCCCGGATGTGTGAGGAGGATTACCACTACTACTCGTACACGGAGCTGCAGCTCAACTGCAGCGCCAACAATGAATTCAGCAAAGTTCTGGTGAGGAGGACCAGCTGGTCCAGATGTTTAGTATTGTTACTCATTTTCATTATAAACCGAACTTCAATCTGCTTTCTCTTCCAGGCAGCTTTTGTTGGACCAGCAGGCGAAGCTTTGGCTCAGAGTCTGAGCCAGTCCAGTCAGTTCGGACCCATCTCAGCTCATGACGAAGTTCTGTTCGCCACCTTCAGCGACGAGGGCGACAACTCAGCCATGTGTATGACACACTTTCATGTGTTTGCCACCTTCTCGTTCTGTTTAAGGAAAAATCATTTATTTTCCTTCCATAATAGAGAGGGATCCTGAACGCTTCTGTTCTGTTTGTATTTTGTTCCTCTGACTGTTTTCAGTCTTTTCAGTGAGTAGAAGAAGAGCACTAGTTGCTCGTTGTGTCTATGGGGCTCAGCACTGCCCCCTGTCAGTAAGACACAGTATTTTCTGCTATTTCTCTGCACATTTATGGCCAATCAGAAAGATAAATTCATTAAATATATCAGTCAGACTGTTGAAAATCAGCATATGTAGGAAATGTGTAATTAAGTAAGCATGTTAGCTACATAGTATATATGCGATGAAATCATGTTTACACAAAAGATTTTAATGTTGAATATTTCTCTCTCTTTCTGCAACACTATAAATTAAACAGTGTTGCAGTTTCTGTCTGTAGGAATTCAGTAGCTAACTTTTATAAAGCCGCTTTGTGTGCTTTTGGACCCCCAGGCCAGCAGGGGGCCCTACGCAGTGACAAAGTTTGCTTTACCTCTGTCTTTTTACATAGAGTGTTGTGAACCTTTACAGATTTCTTATGTTTTAGCTTTTTTTGTTGTTTTATTTTCTTAATGTTTAATATTTAGCTTGAATGGAGATAGATTTTGCTTCTGCTCCTGTTTTCAGGTATGTACCCTTTAAAGTTCATCAACAATCAAATTTATAAAGTCATAGAAGCCTGTTACAACCAGGAGGGCCTCATCAACAACCAGCTTGCAGTTTATTCGCCTTATTCTAATTCCAATTCCAAGCCTGAGGAGCTGTGCAGCGGAAAGGTACTAAAATCCTCTCCTGAAACCAGGATGAGACACAAATCTGATGTTTTACATGGAAACTGCTCTTTCACCAGAAAGGCATGGAGAAATGTGGAGCCGAGCATCTGCCCTCGCCGCTGGCCAGTACGGCCGAATTCGCCTTGATGGCCGAGCCGTCATGGAAACATGTGGGTCAGCTGACTGCTGTGGCGGTTGGCGTGGAGATGGGCCATGCTGTGGCGTTCCTGGGAACCCTTGATGGAGAGGTGACGGCTTTATTCACTTACTGTGTGTGGGTTCAACACTGAACATGCATTTGGTTGACCAAAGCTGGCACGCTAACATTAGCGCCAATCTTTCCTCATGTTTTTATTCACAGCTTCATAAAGTATTTGCAAATATTTCCTTCTGCCATCTTGGATTGTCTGCATATCAACTTGTTGGAAATGTTTTAATCCGTTTCTTTCTGGTTTTTGGTTGCATGATAAATGAAAACAAACTGAATCATATTTAATTGCATGATTTACCCTTTTTGTCTATTTCTAACACAAAAGGGACGACAAAAGTTGTTTCTGTTTCTTATTTTGTTTGAAATCTTTAAAATGTCTTTCAGTTCCAGAGCTGAACAAGCACTAGAATTTAAAGTTTGTTGTTCTTGTTTGTTTTATTGTTTCATTGTTGTTGTTCTTGTTTTATTACCATTAAATGACTTGAAAGTGGTCTCAGAACAACAATATTACAGTTCATCACAATAGCTTCTGGTTGAATTGGTTTTGCGGTCGCCGTCCTGCTGCCGCTGTGGCTCCGGCTCTGCGCTGGCGGTAACGTTTCCACTTCCTGTTTCTGCTCTGCAGGTGCTGAAGCTGCATCTGTCGGCTCGACCCGAGGTTTACGGCCAGCCGCTGAGCGGCGCCTCAAGGCACAAGGTCAACAAGAACCTGCTGTTCGACTCCAGCCTGCAGCACCTGTACATCACCACGGAGACGAAGGTCGGAGCCCATTGATTGTTAGGTTTACCGGATCCATCGCTCCTCGCTTCCACTTGTCCAAAGCGACCCGGAAGGTCGCGGCGGCGGCGCTAGCTAGCTCCTGTTTCCCCCTTTCATCCATCAAGTTGCTGTCTTAATGAGCCCTTCATTTATTCCCTCTGTCCTGTTTGATCATTTATTCGCTCTGTCGACTAACATCAACACATCCGTCTGCATTACCGCACACAAGTCGCTGCTTGATTTATTCACTCCGCTTCTCTTCCTCTCCGTCTTTCTTTGCTTTGTTCTTTCATCTTCTCCGCAGCCGAGGTGAAATAGATGTTATTGATTTTAGAAATGAATTAATTACAAAGCACTTCAAGAGAGCAATTTGCTTTGATCAAGTGGAGCGACGACGCTGGAGCTCGTTCCGTCTGTTCATCTAAATTTATTAGACGGCGCTCAGCCTGTCAGAGAGGAGAGCCCAAGATCTTCAACGTAAAGAAACATCAGGAGGAAGAATTAACGTTTTAACGACAAATCTGGCAAATTTTATATTTTTTTACTGAATTTATACATTAATACTTTAATTTCTGGTGGGATTTTTTGCAGGAAAAAACTATTTTTATTGATTAAAAATACATAAGTATTTGAATAAATTAAATAATAAAAAAATACATTAAATTAACTTCCTGTGTGTCCAGATCACCAAGGTTCCGGTCCAGACCTGCCATCTGATGGCCGACTGCCACTTCTGCGTTCAGATGAAGGATCCGTACTGCGGCTGGTGTGTCCTGGAGGGACGGTGAGCGACTCCTGAGCTGCAGCCCAAAACGGGAGCCAATCAGCTGCTAGAAATCGAGCTGCCATGTTGTTTCTCCAGGTGCAGCAGGAAGCAGGACTGCAGCAGGTCGGCAGAGACGAACGCCTGGCTCTGGTCTCCCGACGGGAAGTGCGTTGAGATCGCAGCCTTTGAGCCGCCGAACATCAGCTGCAAGAAGACGAAGCAGGTGGGCGAAAATCCCAGCGAAGTATCAGAACAAAGTTTCTCTGATGAGACGCCATCTTTAATCTCGCCTCACTTCTGAACCTTTTATCTGTTTTTAAATGGTTGCAGCTGCCATTACTCCTTATTTCTGTGAATTATGCATCAGCAGTCGGGTCGTAACTCGTTACCTTTACTCAACTACAGTTTACTGTAAACTTTTATTTACATGTCAGAAGTATTACATTTAAATAGATTTCAATAGTTTGGTTTGGCCTTTTATGACTTTTCTTCTGTCTTTTCTTGTAGCTGAAAAATCTGAACTTTGTATTAGAAAATAGATTGCGAGTAGCATGTCACGGTTAAGTCGATAGACTTCAGTGCGAGCGCTGAGCCCATATGTTTTCATTAGCAGAGGATGTATGATTCTGTCTGAACCTGAATTAATGGGACATTGATCCGGCGCAGTGTCCTTCAGCCTGAGTTCACAATGTAAAGTATCAATTCTTGGTTTCTTTCAGGAGAGATGGAGCTCATTTTAATGACATTAACTTAATATGATGACATGAATATTTGTTTTATGCAGATTGCTGCAGTCGTTGATGATCTCACAGTCATCCTCATCAGATGTGTGATAATGCAATCAGATCAGGCTGGAAAAAACAAAACGCAAAGAAGTTGAATTATTTTAAAATGCAACAGTAAAGACATTTCTCTGTGTTTTCTAATCATTTTTGGAAAATTGGGAAAGTCTTTTTCACAGTTTTAAACATTTAATAAACAGAAACATAACTCAGAACCAGTGATGTATTTATTTCAGAATATTATTATAAAACAGGAACCAGAGATGAACCATGAATGCTCTGCAGCAGAGAACTTACTGCATCATCTTGTTGAACAGGATCGTCATGAGATAAATCAGTTGTTAACAAGCAACATTTATTTTTAATCAACATAAGATACTCTGTTGCATGAAAATGTTCAATTTTATTTTAGGTTTTTAGAAATATCTGAAATAATTACATAGATAATTAAACTTGTTGGGAATTTAAAAAAATATTTAATGATATCAGATGGATATTTAGCTCCATGCTGTTTAAAATAATTATAAGATTATAAGTGGAGATGATCTTCATGACAATATATTAATAATTGATTTGAAAAAGAATTTGCTATTCCGAAGAATGAATACTTTTCTTAGAGAAATAAAATCTTAATCAAACTTACAGAAAAATGAGAATATTTTAGTCTTTTTCTCAGAGGATTTATTTAAACGTGAAAGACAACAATGTATAAATCCAGTCAATTTAGTAAATTTGACCTTGTGTTCCTTAACTTATGATGCGTTCTGGCTTCAGGTTTGAATCGAGACAAGCGGATCTAAAACCTCTAGTGGAAGAAAAATGACTTTGTTCTGCAGCCTCTAAAGTTCAGAAGCTTCAGAGGATCAAGAAGTTTGAAATTAAAAACTTCAGCAGCAAAATGAAAACAGTTGAGGTCAGCAAAGAGTAATGAGAAGCTCATGTTTGAGCAGCGCAGTTGAATCGTAATTATTCCTGCGCCACACACTCACACACACACTTTGAAGCGTCTTCACTCAGCCAGGGAAACATTTTATCGGGTTTAATGCATCAGATTTAGTGGAAACATTTCTGCAGACGTTGAGACGCGTCTCTGTCCTGATTGTCTGTGCAGGTGCACATCAAGGTCCCGTCTCTGCCCCGGCTGAGGGATGGCGACCAGCTGCACTGCGTCTTCAATTCGTTAAGATCCGACGCCGTGGTGCTTAAAGACGATCCGACGGTGTGGTCTGCTCGCTTCCCGACCCTGGAAAAGTCCCGCCCACTCCGGAGCAGCAGGGTACGATTCGCCGCAGATTTAAACTCTGAGGCGTTTTTATCCTGTAGACACGTTGCTTGTTGTTCACATTGGGAAATTTCATAAATTAACAAACTGAAACCTGGAGAAGTAGTGATTATTAATTTACTGCAGTGCGCCACAGCAAAGGGAAATAAAGCAGAAAACTGCTGAAGAACAACTAAAACCACGGATATCCTTTTCTCACTCTCTGCTACCCATTGCCATGGCAACTGACTCACAACAGCTTCACGATATGTGTTAAGATTCAACACTAAAAACACTCCAACATTTCCCTCACAAAGAACAGAACATTCAGTCCATCTTCGCTGATAGGCTTATTTTCCCATTATTATTAACTGAGTGCCGTGGGAGATTAGCAACCGTTGATATTAGCTAAGCTTGATTTACTGATGAGTCAACTTTTTATTTTTCAATTGAAACACAGAACACAACACGTCTACATGTTAAAGTTGTCATAGTCAAGCTAGCATAACTGAACTCCTTCCCTCTCCGTATTTCTGAATTAAAACACTTTGCTGACTTTGTTATCTGATTGTTGTAATGTTGACGATTAGGAGCAAATCCCTTTTCTTTTTTACACATTTAAGATTCAGCGTTATATTAACAACAGCTAAAACAAGGCTAGTCATTGTTAGCGACAAGGCTAGTCATTGTTAGCGGCAAGGCTAGTCATTGTTAGCGACAAGGCTAGTCATTGTTAGCGGCAAGGCTAGTCATTGTTAGCAACAAGGCTAGTCATTGTTAGCGACAAGGCTAGTCATTGTTAGCGGCAAGGCTAGTCATTGTTAGCGACAAGGCTAGTCATTGTTAGCGGCAAGGCTAGTCATTGTTAGCGACAAGGCTAGTCATTGTTAGCGAGCAGCTTTTTGCCCTCCAGCAGGAACGGGGTCGAGGTTTTGTGCTTGTGACGTCGAACTGTGACGGGTTCAGACTAGAAATGCATAAAAAATACAAATAAACAAAAAATGAATTTCCTTTTTTTATAACCATGTTGAGACAGAAAAGATTGATCTCCTCCACTTCCTCCACGAGCCGCTGTTGCTTCTGAAGAAATGCACCAAAACCAACCAATCAGAGCCGGGAGGAGGGGCTTAGTGCTGCCAATTAACCTCATGTCCTCACTGCTAAATGTGCTAATGATGGGAAAACTGTTTATCTGCAGTCATAGGTGGCTATGCTAACTAGCTTTAGCGTTTTCTGTCCTGCTCCCATTCTCTATTCTTGTCCACAAATGGCCCCTGCGCCGCAGTTTGGACCCTCAGAACCTCTCTGATTCTTCCTCTGTGTTCAGACTTCGTGTCGGTCCCAGTGAAGGTTCTGCTGAACCAAACGATTGAAGTAACATCTGGAGAATATCATTTCTACAACTGTGCAGCTACTGTTTGGAAGAACCCCAACACACCGTAAGCTGCATCTCACACACACACGCCCACACACACACACACACACACACACACACACACACACACACACACAACACACACACACACACACACACACACACACACACACACACACACACACACACACACACACACACATTAACACCCAGCATGATGCGGCCACATGTCCCACCTGTCTACAGGTGCATTTCCTGTGTGACCAGTCAGTGGGGCTGCCAGTGGAACACCAGGGATCACACCTGCAGTGATAAAGACGAATCTCTGGAAGGTCACATTGTCAAACCTTCAGAGGTAATTTGTTTACCACAAATTCAGCCGCCAAAGGTTAAAATACTGGTAGAAAATATCTAAACTTGCATTTATTTCTCTTCTGAAGCTGGGAAATTGTCCTCAGTTTGAGTCTCCGGATCCGTTGCTCATCCCTGTGGGCTATAAGATGCCCATCGTCTTCCAGGGAAGGAACCTGGAGAACTACGAGGTGCAGCTCTGTCACACCTGATCACTTCACAGTTACCAATCAATCAATGATTGATAAGTTAATCATTTCTTTTGGACAACAGTCGTTAAGGAGATTCTCCCCTTTAACATTGTTGAAAAGCTGCTGTTTTGACATCTGTGGCTACTTTCCACTACCTGCTTCTTTTGCCTGTTTAAAAAAAGATAAATAATTATTTTTTGAAACACAAGACTTCATAATCCATTTTAATTATTGTTGTTTTGCATGTTGTGTTTATTTTTTGGGATATTTAAAATGTTTTCCAGTTCCTGTGTTGGAAGCTATATTATATATAAATATATTAGTTAAAAATGGTCTTAAAATGACAATATTATAGTTTATGAAATCATTTCTAGGACAATTTATTGTCATCACGACATGCCTACATGCACAGATTTATAAAAGATCTAAACACCATGTTTATGCTCATTTATTGTGTTTCAAAACACAATTTACCTACAAAACAAGCAAACCTGGTTAAGGTCCAAAAGTCTTAACTGGTTAAGTTAAGACTTTTGGATGATTTTCTAATTTATTAAGATGAAAATTAAATGTTTTTATTAATAAGGCAAAGACAGTGAAAAATTGCATTTTTCTGCAGGGGAAGAGCTTCACCATCGGCACGGAGCTGATGGACCATGAAGAAAACGTGGTGAAGATCGAAAACTCAAAGTTCAGATTCGACGGTTACCAGGCGAGTCTGAGGCGCAGATTCATCCCTGAGCTGGAAGTTTGTGGTTCAGATTGTTAAATTAAGCCAGAGAATAAAGCATCTTAAAGGAGAGTAATCAGTGTTGTGGGCAAACAGCGACAGATTAAACCCGTTTAACCCGCTTTAAGAAACACTCTGATTATTTAATTGAAACATCAGCAGCAGCAGCAGCAGCAGTCGGCTCTTCACCGCCTCCTAAAATCAGCCGCTTTGATTACTGTTGATTCAGAAGTTGCTCAACATGATTGGAACATTTATTTTGTTATGCACTTCATGATTAGTTGTTTATATATATATTTTGCTCATGAATGTAGATAAAAAGTTTCTGTTTTTTCGCTTCCACCTCATTCTCTCCCATTTTCCTGCCCCTGATTCCCTTTTATTTCCTCCACTTTTCGCTCTTTATCCTTTTCTTTTCCTGAAAACCTCCAGAAGAAAACATCCTCTGATTTATGAGCACAATTGTGCGCGTTTGGTTTGACCTTCACAGTTGGACCGAGGCGGTGTAATTTAGCATCGAGCTGCAAGCAGAACGGGGACGAGGTTTTGTTTGTGTTTCACCGCAAATCCAAACAGAGAAGTTTGGATTTATTTTGCTCGTGTTGTGAGGACAGAAATGTTTTAAGGTCATCTGACGCAGCTGCACAATCATACATTTTTATAAAATGAGACAAATCCCCACTTTCATAACATCTACTCAGTTATTCATATTTGCCTGTACTTCTGCTTTGAGCTTTTTTTATATAAATGAAGCGTCTTTGTGATTTGTGCTGCACTGAAATTGTGATGTTTGGTTCGGTAAAAGCTTCTCGTTTTCTCCTGAATTTCAACTTTAATGATTGATACTAAAATTTCTTTTCTGAAAATCATGTTTCTGCATAAAATCAAGTGCAGAAATTACATAAATATTGTTAAAATGTTACTAACCCCACCCACACAGATTCTTGGCCCCGCCCATTTTTGGTGGGCGGAGCTTTGCATCCCCCTTTTATCACAATAAAAAAGGTGTTTCAGTCAAATTTTGAAGTAATGAGACTAAAAGTGAGTATTGTGCAGTCAGTGAATGCTAACTTAGCTTTTTTCTCCTAATTTAGTAACAGTTAATGAAATAGTGGGAATGTTTCTTTTGCTAAAGCTGCAACTTTAGCAAAAGAAAACTAGATGTTGCAGGCAGATGAGTTTCTGGCTATAAAAGCCTGTTGGAGTTTTGTTTGTATCTGTGAAGAAACAATGCTGTATGTCTCTGTGTGCAGTTTGCTTATGACGAGCAGCAGGAGGTGAACATATCTTTCCATATCAAAGTCCAAGACAGGAACACAAAGATCGACAGCACGCTGACAGGTTGGTGTGTCGCTCTCAAACACAGAGAAGTAAAGAAGTTTTTCCTCTTATTTTCAGTTCTAATCCAGTTGCATCCCCTCTCATCTTCTCCTCCCAGTCACGCTGTACAGCTGCTCAGTGGGAAGAGAGGACTGCAGTCTGTGTAAACACGCCGACGACAAGTACAACTGCGAGTGGTGCAAAGAAACCCCGAGCAAAAACAGTAACGAGGAAATGAAGTGTGTATTCAAGGAGATCTGCAAGTCACCCAAACTGGCTCAGTGTCCAGAACCGAAGATTACTGACGTGAGTCATCAGAACCAAAGAGTCTTCCTGCTGTTTACCATCAATACACAACTACACAACCACACAATACACAACTACTCAACCACACAATACACAACCACACAACTATACAACCACACAATACACAACTACACAATACTACACAATACACAACTACACAATACTACACAATACACAACCACACAATACACAACTACACAACCACACAATACACAACTACACAACCACACAATACACAACCACACAATACACAACCACACAATACACAACCACACAATACTACAATACACCACCATGTAATACACAACTACGCAATACACAATACTACACAATACACAACTACACAATACTACACAATACACCACCATGCAATACACAACTACACAATACACAATACTACACAATACTACACAATACACCACCGTGCAATACACAACTACACAATACACAACTACACAATACTACACAATACACCACCATGTAATACACAACTACGCAATACACAATACTACACAATACACCACCATGTAATACACAACTACGCAATACACAATACTACACAATACACCACCATGTAATACACAACTACGCAATACACAATACTACACAATACACCACCATGTAATACACAACTACGCAATACACAATACTACACAATACACAACTACACAATACTACACAATACACAACCACACAATACACAACTACACAATACTACACAATACACAACCACACAATACACAACCACACAATACACAACTACACAATACTACACAATACACAACTACACAATACTACACAATACTTTCTTGTAACTTTCTGGTTGTTTCCTGAATTTTAAGCAAAGCGTTTCAGAATCTAGCAAGTTTTTTGGGGGGAACTTGTTGTGCAAAATTAACATTTTATTCATTTTTTAATTCCATTTGGAAGATTTGAGCTGCTTCTGAAAGCAGGTCAAACTCTTAAAGAAAATCTGCAAAGAAAAGCTTTTGGCTTTTGGTTCATGTTATTTTGCTGTCTGGAAAACAAAAAGTTTGCTTCTTCCCTCCATGTTGGAGAATCAAACTTTTAATGAAATTCCTGAACCCTGAACTTCTCAGCACTTCCTGTTAAACTTAGACTTGATATTCACTTTAGATTGAGTTGTTGCTGCTGTTCTTGCTTCTGTCTCACTGCAGGTTGTAGTAAAATATTTCAGCATCTGAACTTCAGCTGCTAGATGATGCAACTGTTTTCTCCTCTGGCAGTTTGGGGGAAATGTTTTCACCCCAAAGTTCAGAAAACATTGAAGTTTGTTTTTCTACATAATGCACCATAAAACATCTCTTCCAGTGATCATAACTCAAACAAAAGTACATCTGAGCTTATCTTGGGTTTCTTGTCTCCATTCAGTGACTTTTCTCTCTCTGAAAATAGATTACTTCTGCAAACCGCAGGAGAATTTCTGCACCTTTTAATAGGCCGGCGATTCATTTTCTGCTTCAAAGTCCTTTGTGGATATAAATCATAACATTTCATCTGGAATAACACAAAATGTAAAATCACCACAGATAAATGCTTCTGGGGATTCCTGCATGACTGCTGAAAGATTTCACTCACAGAAATGAAAAGCAGTGAAAGGCAGGATGGATGTTTATTTGCTTTTTTGCTAGCTGAACTAAATGCTAACTTAGCATGTCAACAGTTAGCTTTAATTATTTTTATTATAGTGACTGTAGCAGGTAAATTCTTTATAAGTCCAGTAAATCAACCAGCTGAGCGTCTTTAATTTGAAGTGTTTGTGTCTGTTATTCCTCCAGATCATCCCTCGCTTTGGGCCGCTCAACGGCTCCATCGCGGTGACCATCAAAGGCTCCAACATGGGAATAAAGAAGGAAGACGTGAAAAAGATCACGGTGGCCGGAGTGAACTGTAAACACCTGGAGGACAGATACTCCGTCTCCACCAGGTAACAAACTCCACTTCACATTAGCAGGATCTTTGATCTGATGACGTATGGATTATTGATTAACTCCTCTTGCTGTCCAAAGTGTGGTGTGTGAGATCGGACCCAAGCGAACGCCGCCGTCCGACCTCCCGCCTGAGCTGACCGAAAGCGGGCCGGTGACCATAGAGGTGGAGGGGAACAGAAGCGCAACCTCTATAATGAACTTCACCTATCGGGTATTTCATCAGCAGTGACCAAACGTTTAGCCAAAACTCGCAAATTAAATTATACATTAAAATAAAAATACAAAAATTTAAAAATAATTTTTTGTTTGACCTGCTCAACTATAAACAATAACAAAAAAAAGCCTGAATATATTTAGAGAGAGAAAACATAAAAAGAGCTTTCTGGTCCATTCACTTATTATTTTCCGTCAATCATGAAAACAAACAAAACATATTGTAAATATTTCCAAATGAGAAACAGTTCAGTCCTGCGTCAGGAAACCTGCTCAAGTAAAAGTCTCCCTCAGCGACGCAGAGATTTCTGCTCTCTGCAAGGAAACGAAGCGTAAATAAATCCCTCACCAGCAGATTCGCTGCTGCGCTCAACTCCATTCAAACGTATTTTACTCTCCGCCTCCCGCAAGCAGAGAAACAAACATGACCGAAATAAGTTTCACCTGCTGTTCTGCTTTGTTTCCTGAACGCGACTCAGTCGGTCATTTAAATATCGCTGTTCACTTCTGTGTTTCCTTGTTGTTTGTTTTTGAGGAGACGAGAAGTAATTACAGAAAACCGCTGAGACAAAAACCATTTACTCCAGCGGCGGTTAATCTGAACTTTGTTGGTTGTTTCTGACATCAAAACAGAAAACATCAAACACTGGAGGAAAGGAATGTCTCAAGGTTGCAAACGGTCCGTTTTAATTGTTTGAGAAAGAAAAACAATTCAGTTATTTCAGACACATCCAGTTTCCTGGCAGATTTTCACCTCAAATGTTCACAGATTATCAGTCAAGCTTCAGTTTTCACATGTTTTAATTCTTCCATTTGTGTTTGTGCTGCTTCTAAAAAAACACTTGGAGAAAAACACAAAGCTGCTGTTTGGCAATGGCTTCATTTTCCTGGAAACCTAGCAACCTCAGCCTGGCGCCGCCCCGTTACCTAGCAACCTCAGCCTGGCGCCGCCCCGTTACCTAGCAACCTCAGCCTGGCGCCGCCCCGTTACCTAGCAACCTCAGCCTGGCGCCGCCCCGTTACCTAGCAACCCCAGTGGAGTTCTGAGACATTGGGTCTGCTGAGGTTCCGGCTGTACAATGGCTGCTGGAAAGAGAAATGTTTTGTGGTTGACTTGCCATCCAGAAGCCACTTGCTGCTTCCCTGCTGGGTGTGCAGGAGGCTCCACATCTGCTTTTCAAAGATGTACAGATGCATAGTTGCGCATCTGTTTGCAGCCATTTTTACTGCGTGTGCATCGTTGAGTTTGGGGCCAGCAGCAGCTACTTAGGATTTAAAGTGACAGGAGGCCCTAAAACAGCTGATCTGATCAAAATCTGGTTGATTTGTGCTAAAAATGTGAAGAACATGTTTTGTAGAGGCCGTACGTTCATCCTAACCTGTTCAGGGAAGCATAACAGATTTAAAAGCTGCAAACCTGCATCTCCTCTGGATCTCCACATCTTGTAGGAAGAATGGAAGGAAAATGTTGAAGCTTGCTTTGAAATCTGGAGGACGTCGACGCCGAGTCTGTTTCGGTTTTGAATCGTTGAATCGCGCTCCCGGGTTCAGATCTGTCTCCTTGGTGTCGGAGCCTGAATAAAGACTCGAAGCATCGAGTCGGCGCCGCCGCGCTGAAGCTGTGAAGAGTTTGTCTCTTTGGGGATGTTTATTTTTATTTCCTGCTCTCTTTGTGACAACAGCCAGAACAAATCTGGAGCACAAACAAGACAAATGTTTGAGTGCAAAGCACAGCTGGACTCCTTCACTTTCAGTTCATTTTGGTTTTGAGTCCCTTTAACTCGGCTGTGTTTTAATCTGTGACTTAAACCAATCAGCTTTTTATCCCCCATTTCCTTCAACCATTCATACAAACATGCATTTTCAGCCAAAGTTAAATTCTTTGTGCACACAAACTTTAAAAGTCATGAATATAAACATTTTTTATGTTTTGCATTTGATTTATATTCAGTAAAAGTTATTAGATTAGAATATCAACAAAGGTTTTGCACATTTGTAGAGGAAATGCAGCCTCTGTGTTGGGAATCAGCAGCAGGAGTAAAAAACGAATCGTTTTGGAGTCAAACTGGATGTTTTAAATGTTTCTGTTCAGGATCCTGATCCGACTTTCATTGACCCGATGGCGGGTCCTGCAGCCGGAGGAACGATTATCACCATCACCGGAAAAGATCTGGACACGGCAACCAAAGGCGACGTCAGCGTCTCCATCGGCGGCATCGCCTGTGACGTGTAAGCCGAAACTTTCCTGCATCGTCAGCAAACCGTCACAACGCGCCTTCACTTCCTGTTTCCTTCAGCTTATCGTTTGGGACGAACATCACCTGCAAGACCGGCAGTTACAGCGCCGCAGCGGCTTTCCCGGTTTCCATGACGGTGTCGGTGAAGTACGGAGGAAACACCATCAAAAACCTGCCCAAGCCCTTCATTTACACCGACAACCCAAAGATCACCAGCTACACTCCCAACACCAGCTTCGTTTGGTGAGTCTGTTGATCGTCCTCCTCCTCCTCGGCAGTCAGACTCCCTGCTGTCTTTTATTTCCTGTCTCGTTTCTCTGGGTTTAATCTGCAGTGGCGGTCGAAAGATCGTCGTGACGGGAACCGGCTTCAACCTGACCCAGTCGGCCTCCATGAAGGTTCTGCTCAACACCAACGACGACTCCACCGAGGAGGTAGGAGGTTTTCTGCATCAGCTTTTATTCAGGATTGGATTCAAATTAGGAAAACGGTGAAAAACTGTCCCAAACTCAGAGATTTGACTTCATTTTTCCTTATATTTATAGGAATAATCATCCAAATCTGGTCCAAATTCGGTAATTTGTGTCATTTGTTGCTTTTATCCAATGATAAAACCTTTAATGGCAGCAGATTGTCACCTTGATGCTCCTCCGTCTTCATTCAGAGCAGGAAGCTGCTGTCGGTTTCTGTCCGTCTCTCTGGACAGATGGAGGAACGTCGGCTCGGTTGGAGCCAACCGGACCCACAGGAGGAAACTAAACCTTTCTCATCGTCTTTTCATCTTTCATGTCTCCCTCAGTTCAAGTCAGACTGTAAACGTATCAACAACTCCGTCCTGGAGTGCCACTCACCAAGCGTCAGCAGCCATCTTGTCAAGACTCAGCTGCACCTGGACAACGTGAAGGAAGACCTGCTCTTCAAGTACTACCCTGACCCGACCTTCGAGTTCCAGACCTTTAAAGACCTCACAGCGACCAGCCTCATCATCGTCACGGTGCGAAGAGGCTGAGCGCCTGCGGGCGAGAGACGCCTGGACGCCTCGCCGCCTGGACGCCTCGCCGCGAGTCGCTCTGCGTTAACTTCTCTCTCTCTGAACAGGGCCAAGGTTTCTCCAAGGCCATCTCCGTCAGCGAAGCCAAGGCCTCCATCCAGGACGTACCCTGCAACATCAAACTCCTGCAGGTACGCAGAGTTCATGCAGCTGCTTGAAAATCTCTGAAACAGCTTGAATTTCAGTTTGGTGTTTTCACATTTTGGAAAATGTTTGAAATTTAAAATGCACCGTTTTGTCTTAAAGTGCAATGAAAAGCCTACATTTTAATACTTTTTGCACATAAAAACATATTTTCTCTCTGAAGTTAAATCAGAATAAAGTTTTTAGGTCACTTAGAATCATAAAAGCTTAGTGAGGATGTTTTTAGAGCATTTTGGACTTTCTTTGTGTTTGATTGTTTCAATGCGATGAATATTTAATATAAATGTTTTTATATTTATTATGTGAAAAGTTATTGAAATGGGAAATTTTTTGTTTGTTTTGTATATCAGGAGACATTTCAGAACATAAAATTTTATTCATTTTATTTAATTTAGAATGAAAAATACTAGAAAAAATCATTTAGTTACTATAGTTGAGCATTTGTTCTCATAAGAATTTAGATTTATATTCATGATAGATTTCAGTTCATATAAAAAAACTATTTTATGCATCAAAAAGTATAAATACATCTGAAAAATGAAGTCTGTGTGCAGTTTAGAGATGTAAATCATTATTTAAATAATAAGCAGTTTGTATGTAAATTTTTATTGTTATCAGAATAATGTTACAAAGTATCGTTCATTTGTTCTGTTTTCTTTCTTTCTGAGATTCGTTGCTCTGCATTCAGGAGGTTTTTCCGTTTCTTCTTCTTCTGCAGGACGATAAGTTGATCCTGGAAGCTCCTTCCTCTCCGCCGACGCCCAAATCCAAGTCCCAGAGCGCGGAGGCAGCCGACGACATGCTGGATCTGGAGGTAAATAAACCGACTCGGTTCTGTTTGGGTTCTGCTGCAGCTCGACCCAAACCATCCCAACAAATAAATAAACTCTGACTGCGCAACATGCAAAAGTTTGGACAAAACAAAATATTAAAGATTTTAGTATTTCCAAACATTTGGGGTTTATAATGTTGCATCCGTTCGTCTTTCCTTCCTGCTTTGCTTTTTATTGTTGACATTTTTCTCCTTTTTTCCTTTTTTTACTTTGATCTTTTCTTCTCTGTTGCTTCATTGATGTCTTTTTCCCCACAGTTTTTCTTCCTTTTCTCTTTCCTTTCTTTGCATTTTCTTTGTTTTTCTTGATTTTGTTTCTTTATTTCTGTCTTTATATTTTTTTCCATTTTCTTTCTTTTATTTTTATTTTTCTGATTCTTTCTTTCTGTTTTTATTCTCTTCCTTTTTCCATTTTTTCTTTCCATGTCTCTCCTTGTTGTTTTTGCAGATTTTCCATTTAAATTCCTGCTTCTGCAGAAACATCTGCACTAAACTTCAATCAATGTGATTATAATTTGAGTTTAAAATAGTTTGAAATGAGGCTTTTGTAGCTTAAAATGTTTTGAAACTTTCAGTAAAGTGGGATTATGATGGTTTCTGTTCTTAAACAGAAGGAAACTAATCTCTAAACTAAAGCAGTGAAACATTTTCTAATCTCAGAAGTTGTTTTTCTTGCAGGTGCAGTTCGGTAACGGGAAGTGGACCGTCGGGAAAGTTCAGTTCACCAGGAAAGAAAACATTCCTCTGGCTATCATCATCCCAGCCGTGATCGTCCCCATGCTGGTTTTCATCGTCATTTCCATCTACTGCTACAGGTTTGATAACGTCTTTAAAAATGTAAATCCGTGGCGAGAATAAGAAATACAACAAAACAAGGATTGTGTTTGATTCGCGTCAGGAGGAAGAGTCAGCAGGCAGAACGGGAATACGAGAAGGTGAAACATCAGCTGGAGAATCTGGAGGAAAGTGTTCGAGATCGCTGCAAGAAAGAGTTCACAGGTATTCATCCAGAATCAGAATTCAACCTATTTTATGTTTAACAGGTTAACTTGACATCTTCTGCAGGTTTTCTGCAGCAGATTCAGTAAAAACCTTCTTCACTAACATTGCGTCACATTGAATTCAGAAATTAGTCTCTGCAGCTTGTCTCCGTCTTATGAACCTCTGCCAACTCAACTCTGTAAAACCAGCAGCTTTTTGGCTCAAATCATGAAAAACTTCCCCTCAGATCTTCCTGGAAAGCTCTGCGATCCGTTTCAGATTAATCTGACTCTTCTGTCATTCATCAGGACGAAAACTGCAGATCTAAGAGCCCAGGATTAGCACAGCAGTCATCAATACTCATAAATACTTATCAATACTCGGAACACAAAAAGATTAATTCAGTTTAACAAAATTATATTATGAAATTCCAGCGTGTCACAGAATTAGTCTGTGTCTCAACAGTTATGCTAATTTACCTTGCTAATACAAGTTAGCTTTATTCATTGGTTTATTGGTATTGGTACGAAGTAAGTCTTATTTTTGTTTTGTTTTTTCTGTTCTAAAATCCAATTTATTTTTTACGCAACTTGCTAATTATACATGATCTATAAAGTTTCTGTAGTGAATGGGTTCCTGTTAGCCGTTATGTTTCTGTTCTCTTGCAGATCTGATGATTGAAATGGAGGACCACACCAGTGACCTCAGCGAAGGTCGAATCCCTTTCCTGGACTACAAAACGTACACGGACCGAAACTTCTTCCTGCCGTCCAAAGAAGGCGATAATGACCCCATGATCACTGGAAAAATACAAATCCCAGAATCCCGCAGGGCGACTGTGACTCAGGCACTCAACCAGTTCTCCAACCTGCTGAACAGCAAACCTTTTCTCATCAACGTGAGTTTAAAGCTTTTGGTTGCATTCCTGGTTCCTGTGAAGCTCGTTCAGACGCTAATCCTTTTATTAATTGTTATCTATGCGGATGAATTGATATTAATGTAATTTCTTTTCCTTTCCAGTTTATTCGCACATTGGAGAGCCGTCCTGACTTTAACGCCCGGTCTCGGGGAAACTTTGCCTCCCTCCTGACGGTGGCGCTGCACGGGAAACTGGAGTATTACACGGACATTATGAGGACGCTGCTGCTGGAGCTGATGGATGAACACGTCCAGAATAAAAACCCCAAACTGATGCTCAGGAGGTGAGAACATGTTATTAACTTATTTCAACTCAGAGGTGTAGAGTAGAAAACGTTGCATTAAAGTTAGAGTAAAAAAATATTTAGTAGGAAGTTTACTTAAGTACTGAGCAACTAATCAATCATTTAATAATTAATTATCAGATGGGGCAAAATGTAAAGTTAAGTAAAAATTTTAACAAAAAATAACAAAATCAGGCAAAATAAAATGTTTACAAATCAGTTTCTTAAAATAAAAAACTGCATCGTGTGTCTGGTGAGTTTTTGGTTTGTTTTTCATTCAGGGAGTAAAAAACTCCAGTAATCAAGTAAAAGTAAAAAGTTAAACGTTCACTTGAGTAAATGGAACCAGTTTCTACCAAACTCTGGACCGAAGCATTGATTACGATCGACTCCAGAACCGGACCACTGATGACATCACTGCAGGACTGGGGAGAGACGGCGGCCATGTTTCTTTTCTGGCTGTCAGTTCCTGCTCAACTCTAACGCTAAAAGTTCTTTTTGTTTCAAAAAAGTTACTGAAGTGACTGTAACTGTTGGTCCAAACTCCGTTGCTCTGAAGCGTTGCTCTGAAGCGTTGCTCTAAGCGTTGCTCTGCAGCGTTGCTCTGCAGCGTTGCTCTGCAGCGTTGCTCCGCAGCGTTGCTCCGCAGCGTTGCTCTGCAGCGTTGCTCTGAAGCGTTGCTCTGCAGCGTTGCTCTGAAGCGTTGCTCTGCAGCGTTGCTCTGAAGCGTTGCTCTGCAGCGTTGCTCTGCAGCGTTGCTCTGAAGCGTTGCTCTGCAGCGTTGCTCTGCAGCGTTGTTCTGAAGCGTTGCTCTGCAGCGTTGCTCTGCAGCGTTGCTCTGCAGCGTTGCTCCGCAGCGTTGCTCTGCAGCGTTGCTCTGAAGCGTTGCTCTGCAGCGTTGCTCTGCAGCGTTGCTCTGAAGCGTTGCTCTGCAGCGTTGCTCTGCAGCGTTGCTCTGCAGCGTTGCTCTGCAGCGTTGCTCTGCAGCGTTGCTCTGCAGCGTTGCTCTGAAGCGTTGCTCTGCAGCGTTGCTCTGAAGCGTTGCTCTGAAGCGTTGCTCTGAAGCGTTGCTCTGCAGCGTTGCTCTGCAGCGTTGCTCTGAAGCGTTGCTCTGAAGCGTTGCTCTGCAGCGTTGCTCTGAAGCGTTGCTCTGAAGCGTTGCTCTGCAGCGTTGCTCTGAAGCGTTGCTCTGAAGCGTTGCTCTGCAGCGTTGCTCTGAAGCGTTGCTCTGCAGCGTTGCTCTGAAGCGTTGCTCTGAAGCGTGGAAGTAATCAGGCTGTCTGGCTTCCTGCTGTGAAGCTGACAGCTTTGTGATTGAGCAGCAGTGAAACTGGAGCCTCCATGCAGTGATGGAGTGATGAAGATGATTCCTCCTGGTGTTTGTGTTGCTGCTGCAGGTCAGAGACGGTGGTGGAGAGGATGCTCTGCAACTGGATGTCCATCTGCCTGTATCAGTTCCTCAGGGTAACAGACTTTTCTTTACTCTCTTATTCAATATTCTCCTATGAAATAAAGTTTTTCAAACTAAGATTATTACTTTCAGATTGCATCAGTGTTTTATCTCTGTTATATTTAGAGCAGATTTTTAACACAAATATTTTATGATTTATTTTATTTGCTGGTAAATTTCAACATATTTTAGTTGATATTTGAATTATGAATCTCTGCTGTAAAATATGGAAGCCCATTCCTGCCGTGAAAGACAAAATGAAAGCCTGAAGGGAGTTTTGAAATTATAATTATGAGAATAAGTCAGTCAGTCAAAATTATGAAGGTACAGTAATAATTTTGAGATACTTTAACTTTCAGTGTCACAATTATGAAATAAAAAGACATAATTTTGATGTTACAAGTCATAAATTTGAGATAAAATTAATTTTCAAATACAAATACAATACAAAGTTCAAATTTTGGGATATAAAGTTATTATGTTGAGATATAAATGCATAATTTCAACTTTACAGTCATAATTCTGGCTTTCAAAGTTATAATTTTGAGAAATAAATATTAATGATGAGATACAAACTCATTATTCACAGTCATAATTACGAGGTCGTCACAGTTTCTCAAAGGAGGCTTTGCTCTAATGTAATTGTTTTTAATTTCATAAATATAATTTTAAAACTTGAAATTATCATTTCTTATTTTTCTGGTTTATTTAAAATTATTAGTTTAATGAAGAAATGGCAGCAGATTATTTCTTTTTTATACTTTTTAGTCTTAGAAATTGAGTCTGGGGTCGAACTCCGACCTTAAAGTCCTGAGTGTTGAATCTTTTCTGGAAACGCTTCCAGCTGATTCCAGCTGATTCCAGCTGATTCCAGCTGATTCCAGCTGATTCCAGCTGATTCCAGCTGATTCCAGCTGATTAGTGAACATGTATGTATGTAATCATATCTTAGTTCTGCTGCAGTGACTGTGAGTGTTTCTGTCTCAGGATACGGCCGGGGAGCCGCTGTACAAACTGTACAAAGCCTTGAAGCACCAGGTGGAGAAAGGTCCGGTGGACGCCAGGCTGAAGAAAGCCAAATACACGCTGAACGACACGGGGCTGCTGGGAGACGACGTCGAGTACGCCGCACTGGTCAGTCTGCGCTCAACTGGGATTTTCTGATTAGCATCTAAACAAAAACATCCAACTATCAAATATTTGGAAGTTAGAGGTCGGATTTTAGAGAAATGAAAATCTAAACTATTTGTTCTTGTTTCGGGAACCTGTTGGTTTGAGGCCAATGAATTTGTTCGTCTGTGAAGCGATCAGAGTTTTGGAATCTGTTCATTTGGGAATCTGTTCATTCGGGAATCTGTTCATTTGGGAATCTGTTCATTTGGGAATCTGTTCATTTGGGAATCTGTTCATTCGGGAATCTGTTCATTCGGGAATTAGTTCATTTGTGTGTCTGTGTGTGTGTGTGTGTGTGTGTGTGTGGGTGGTGTGTGTGTGTGTGTGTGTGTGTGTGTGTGTGTGTGTGTGTGTGTGTGTGTGTGTGTGTGTGTGTGTGTGTGTGTGTGTGTGTGTGTGTGTGTGTGTGTGTGTGCGTGTGTGTGTGTGTACCCCTGAACTCCTGCGGGTTCCTGATAAGCTACATCTGGTTTAATGACTCTGAAATGAACCGTGGAAGTAAATGTTTTTAACCGAATGAACTTCCTCCTGACATCAGTAAGAAAGAGAAACCAGGAGACGCAGCGCAGACGGAAACCTGCGCTGTGTGTGTTGTTTGGGATGAAGGTGACAGGTGTGTGTGTGTGTGTGCGACAGACTCTGCAGGTGCTGGTTCACGGCGAGGGACCAGACGTGACGCCTGTCAAGGTGCTGAACTGCGACACCATCACCCAGGTGAGTTTCTGTCTCCACATGAAGGCAGTTTTTGTTTCTGTGTTCATGTTGCAGGTGAGGTTGTGATTTTGTTTTCCGTTACCTGCAGGTGAAGGAGAAGATCATTGATCAGGTGTACAGGAACCTGCCGTTTTCACAGAGACCAAAAGCAGAAGGCGTCGCGTTGGGTGAGACGCACAGTTCAGCTTCAGCAGAAAATTATTCCTTTAATTCATTTAAATCTAAAACATCTGAGCTGCTTTAAATAAGAAACACAATTAAAATCACGTTTCATTTTGTTCACATAATAAATTATTAAAAATCATCATCCTCCTCCTACTTCCTGTTGTCTTCTTCTTCGTTTCCTGCAGTAGAAACATCCGGTTGCTGATCATGTGACTCTCCTGACATGTTGTGTGTTTCTTCTGCAGCTCATCTCAGCATGAAAACGTTCACCTTTTTTTACTGTCATGTTTTCATTAAGCAAATTTATTTTCATAATTCCAGTTTTCATCATTTTACGATCAATGGAAACAAATATCGGCAAAGTCTTGAGTAACAAACTACTGACTGCCTGGGATAAATGGTTCTCCTTGTAATTCCTTGCTTGTCCACAGAGTGGCGCCCCGGCTCTACGGGTCAGATCCTGTCCGACATGGACCTGACGTCGCAGACAGAGGGGCGCTGGAAGCGGCTCAACACGCTGGCCCATTACAACGTGAGTTCAGCCGCATCCCGCTTGAATTGGACCGAATCAGAATCTTTAAGTCTCCAATACTGAGAGTTTGTGGAGCACAAGGCTGTGATGGGAGGGTAGGAAACCCGTTAGTGGGAAAACTGTGAAGGATTCTGCAGAACAGAAGCACAGCAGCTGCTTAAATTTCTGCGAATGCCCCATAATGTCTCCGTTGGTTTCCCTGCATTGTTTCTAATCCTTCAGATTATTTGTCTAAACTTTATTTATCTCAAAGGGAAATTAAAATTATATCATCCAGTTATCATCAAACGTCGTTTCGGACGGTAAAAGGATATCCAGGAGCAGTCAGTGTTACAGCGAATACGGAGAAGCCTCTGACTGAAGACTGTTGCTGTTTGACAGCCTCATCATCGTCATGACAGGATAATTATTTAGCTGTGGGCTAAACGGCTACTTTGAAGCTAAATGTTTCAAAGGGTTAAAACTAGAAAACTGCACATGTTGTTTTTGTGTAAATAATTAGCTCTAAATATTTGGTTGATATTTAGTTTGATGCTAAATTATTAGCTCAGAGCTAAATGTTTAAACATTTAATCAGAGAGATAAGTACTTGGCTTGAAACTAAACTGTAGTTAGTCAGATAAATATTTAGTTACAACGCTAAATATTTAAATGTAAGCTAAATATTTAGCTTATTTTGAAGTATTTAGGTCAAAGCTAACAGGTAGTTGACAAGATAAATATGTAGCTATTAAGCTAAATATTTAGCTAAGAGGTCAAAGTTTAGCTCAAAGCTAAAGTGTTAAACTAAATATATGTAAACTGCTACTTTTGTAAATGAATGAATTTGAATGAAACCCATTTTTTTATCTTATTTTTGGCTGAATAACCAAATTATTACTGTTCATTTTTGGCTGTAGCTGCACTCCGTAGGACGTACTAATAGGGTACAAAATCTTTTTTAGTTTGGGTTAATCTGCTGTTTACTGCTGCACTTTTTAACAGATTGAAGTAAAATTGTTTCTGCATTAGCACCTGATGGGTCAAAGGTCAGCTTCAGGCCCTGAGTTCAGGTTTCTGTCCGTCTCCAGCTCCTCTTCTGGCTCATGGAACCAGAGGAGATTCATGATGCTGCCGCTCCTTCCTGATGCTTTTAATCAGCTTTGCTTAGCAGAGACCTTTACTTTCTCACCAAAACAAGCGAAAGCTGAAGAGCAGGAAAATGTCGAGCCACTCGAGACTCGTCTGCAAAACCAACAGAAGCTAAATCACTGCTGCTGTCCAGACTCTCCTGACATTTAAGGAGGATAATTAATAGAGGCGGATTTTGCCTCTAATAACTGTGTAGCTTAGTTAAACATCTTCTCTCTGCTTGAACAGATTTTTATTTCTGCAGGTTCGGGACAACGCCACGTTGGTTCTGTCCAGAGTTTTGCACACGCAGTCGTTCCACCAGCACCAGGACAGCCACGACGAGAGTACGTCATTTTTACTCCACGTCTGAGACGTCGTTTAACTGCAGCATCCTCTAGTTTTTACGCTCGTTTACCGCGCTGTTGAGTTGTTCTGGATAATGGGTGGAAAAAGTGATCGGAGATGTTAAAATTAGGCTAAAAAATGGAAAACCGTCCATTTTCTGTTTGTTTATTTACTAATCAAACATTTGCCAACAAAAACAGTTTAAGACACAAATAATTAGTTCAACTTTAAATTGACTTTTTCATGTCTGCATAAGCAAAACAACATTAGAAGTTTTTCCTCAGCATGTTTTTATTAAAAGTTGACCACAATAATAATAATAATTAACCTTATTATTCTCGCCAAGGAGTTCTTTGTTTTATTTTTTATTAACTTTAATAGCTACACTTTCTAATTAGCTTCAGAATAATCTCACCATCCCAGAAGAGAGAATGAAATATAATGAACCAGAGGAGGTTAATATGATGCAGAAAATATCTTCAGAGGTTAATTCACTCATGAATCATGTGGCAGCAGAGCTAACGTTCATTTCTGTTAAAACACAGAAATCCGAAAATATTAAACGGATTTTATGAGGGAAACTTCCATTTGGGTCTCAACTGCTTATTAAAACTTAACAAAACATTCAGACGACTTTTGGCAACAAATTGGTGCCTCAAAAACCTTTCTGCGCCGTTACCTAGCAGCCCCAGCCCAGTTCCAGAACATTTGTTCAGCTGGATTCCCAGCCGAAATGTTTAGCAGCCATTTTGTAGCCTAACCTGTTGCGAGGTCGTCTCCAAGTGGTGCAGGTGATTCTGTGATGTCGGCTGCAGAAAACGCGCTGCTGGAGGACGACAACACGTTCCACCTGGTGCGGCCGACGGACGAGATCGACGAGGTGAAGTCGAAGCGAGGCAGCATGAAGGACAAGGCCATGACCAAAGCCATCACAGAGATCTACCTGACCCGGCTGCTCTCCGTCAAGGTGGACATCCGCTTCAAACTCGCTCCACGTCGTTAGCATGAAGCTAACTTCATTATTTTATCATATGAACACTTTGCTACTTCTTCATAGATGCACATCAGATATCAAAACGTTGAGCTTCTTCTGGATATTCCTGTTATATATTTTGGTCATTTCAGCTTTTTAAAATTTTGAAATATTTAAACTTTAGATTTCAGCCTCATTGAAAAGCATCAAAATCCTTTGAATTTTGATGCTTTCCTCCCTTTGACAGCTTACACCGTCTGGCGACTTCAGCTTAGAAACTCCTTTCAGCTTCGGAGCATCAAGCTAACAATTCAACTTTGTTTTAGTTTTTCTAAAATCATGATTTGAGTTTTGGCCGTTTTCAGATTTAATGTATTTCAGTGACAGAGTGAGATATGCACTGTTCACATCTCACTCTACAGAAATGAATCCTGCATCAAAACGCAGCCGTGAGTCTCTGCTTTGAGGAATCAAAGATCAGTGCAGAGTGTTGATGACGATGCCACCTCTTCCTCCACCGGGTTCTTCTGTAAAGAACAGGAACTGTTTCTAGTTGTTCTTCTTGTTGTGTTGCAGGGAACCTTGCAGCAGTTTGTGGATAATTTCTTCCGCAGCGTCCTTTGCACCAGCTCCGCCGTCCCTCCGGCCGTCAAATACTTCTTTGACTTCTTGGACGAACAGGCGGAGAGACACGACAACGTGGACGAGGAGACGCTGCACATCTGGAAGACCAACAGGTACGCTGACTCAGACGGATTAATCCCAGCAGCAAGATGGCTGCCAAAGACGGGCGTGTCTGAAAGAAACTTCCCCAGAACGGCGTCTGAGCTGATCGTTCTTCCTGCCGGTTCCGTCCTTCCAGCCTGCCGATGCGGTTCTGGGTGAACATCCTGAGGAATCCGCAGTTCATCCTGGACGTTCACGTGACGGAGGTGGTGGACGCGTCGCTGCACGTCATCGGCCAGACCTTCATGGACGCCTGCACCAAGACGGAGCACAAGCTCAGCAGAGTCAGTTCGACTTTCCGCTTCTTCTGGGTCAAACTGGAGTCATTTAAAATGTGAACAATCTGTGACGGATTTATGGCACCAAACCTGGAAAGTTTGTTTGTTTTCTGTCTACATTCTTTGAGTTGGGATGTTTATTTTATTCTTATCGTGATTAACTCATAAAAATGGACTGAAAATGAAATAGCAGCAGCTGCAGACCTGGATGATAAATCAACTTAAATAATTCTTTCTTTTCAATGGAGAACTAAAGGTAGGAAAATAACGGCTGAATCTATTTTCAAGAGATTTCTTATAATTTTGCGACAGTTTTGGTAAAATTGCGTCGTTATTCTGCTAACATAACTTTATTCTCATAGTTAAACTAAAATTCTCATATCCTTCCCGAATATTCACAGAAGGAATGATTGAAATAAAAGCCACATTTTGAAAACCTGTCTGAAAAAGAAGGGGAGAAAAAGAAGGAGACCAGTTAATCGGCCCTGAGGGACGCCAGAAACCAGCCGAGGACTTTAGCCTGTTTGTTTCTGTCTGCAGGAGTCACCTAGCAACAAGCTGCTCTACGCAAAGGAGATTTCCACATATAAGAAGATGGTTGATGAGTGAGTTCACACCACCTGCTGTTCTGACCCGGTTCTGACCCGGTTCTGACCCGGCTGACTCCTGGATGAACGTGTTTGTTTGTTTCCCTCAGTTACTACAGAGGCATCAGGCAGATGGTTCCAGTCAGCGACCAGGATATGAACACACACCTGGCCGAGGTGTCCCGGGTAGGAAAAGCACTCCAGAACCAGAGATTCTGGGTCAGAACCAGCTGGACCGGTTGGTTCTGGGAGGTCATGAGTAACAGATTGACCCATAAAAGTATTAAAATGTTCATATTTGTAACGTTACTGGAGATTTTATGTGATCGATCACTTCACATTATGTTACAGATAAAAATCTGAAAAGTGTGGCGTGTCATTCTCTTTTGGATGAACTTTGACTAGACCATATGTTTCAAACTAGTTTCAGGAATTTATCAGAAAAGGGGAAGAATAAATAGATTTTTCATGTTTTTTTCTACAGATCAAAGTTTTTTGTTTCTCTTCATAGTTTTTATTTTTTCTGTTACATAAAATTGAAGCTAACATGTTAACATAGCATTAGCATGTTGGGGAAAATGCTTGTGAATACTTTCACAAGACCTGCAGTCATAGATGAGATTTGTAGCTAGAGCGCCCTCTGCAGGTGTTTCCAGAAAATACTGAAGCGTTTCTTTAATTGGCTTGAATTACAAATATTTTGGTGTTTTTTTCTGACCCAACATAATAAATCTGTTGCTCTTGTTGTTGCAGCAACACACAGACAAGCTGAACACCCAGGTGGCCTTGCATCAGCTGTACCAGTACGCCAGCAAGTACTTCGACCTGGTGAGGAATCCTGCAAAAAATGTTTCACACAGAAAACCTGAAACTGACAGGAAATGAAATTCAACAGATACCAAATTATGACTTTGTTTTTTATTTACACTACATTTGCATAATCACTTAGCAACGAGTCGTTAGCGTTCTTTAAACGAAGATGATCATTTATTTTTTTAGCTTTTAGTGAGTTAATTTTAACTTTTATTAAGGTTAAAATTGTGTTGGTCTGAATTTTATGCAAATATGCAAAAAATCATTTGAAAAATGGACATATATTTAAATTTAATTCAAGATAAAAATAAGATTTACGTCAATATGTTTGAAAAAAGAACATTTTCTATAAAGATTTTAGTTTTTCAGGAATAAAAATAGTTTTTGTCCAAATTTTTAACAAAAATAAAATGAAAGATGCCAAAAATGCTGATCTGTTCCTCAGATCATCCAGTCTCTGGACGACGACCCGGCCGCCCAGAACAGGCAGCTGACGCTCCGCCTGCAGCAGGTCGCCGCCGCCCTGGAGAACAAGGTCACTGACCTCTGACCTTTCGATTCTTTTTCGATTGTGAGCGTTTGGACTCATCTGAATGTCTGGAGAGGATCTAGCAGAGCCAGAAGAGACGAATTCCCACTCAGCGCCCAAAAGCAAACAAAGAGAAAAGAAGGAAATGTTTTGTTTTTTGGGACGTTTTGACCTTCAGCTCCTCCTCTGTTTGGACTGGACGGTACGGAGGCCCGGCGGGTCCAGATGTTCAAAACATCGGCGACTCTTTAGTTTTATGTTTATGTTTCTGTTTGTATCCTGAGTTTCTGCTTCTGGGCCGCCAGAAACCAACGGCTGAGTTTCTTTCACGTTCAGGAAGTTAGTCGAAACAAATCTCTTAAAGACCAAAGTCCAGGAAATCTGAAAAGTGAAATGAGTTACTTATTATATCGTTTAAAAATCATGCGCCATAAACAAATTTAGCTGGTTTAGAAATAAACTAGATTCACATTTGTGAAGAAAATGTTTAAAAAACTGAAACATTTGAGTTGTAGTAGCGCTTTTCCACCACTGGGGGTGCTGTTCATAACTTATAGTTCCCCTCTGAATTATTGCACAACCAACTGAAAGGTACTGATTAGTTTTTTTTAAATCTGATGAATCTTGACTTTACTAATCATTGTCTTCAATTTATTTATTAATTCATCCGTTTATAGTTAATTTTTATATTCCGCATAAAATAATTTCTGTATTTTTTGCTAAAAATTTAAAATACTGACAGCCAGATTGTGGAAAGCTGATTGATTTCAGTAATTTTCAGTAAATTATGAAACACTCAGCCTGCTCTGATTGGACAGCAGGTCTGATTAGGCTCCGCCCACCAGACCCGAATATCATCATGAAACCTGCTTTCATTTTGCCTCTAATTGAGAAAATATGAATGAAAATACACAAAATGTTAAGAATCAAACTTGTTAATCATTTCATAAACTCCGAATGATTTTTATATTAAACATCGCATCAAATCTGTAAACCATCGCAGCTTTTCTCAAACTGAAGCCACTTTGGTGCCAAATGTTCTGAATCCAGGGAACGTTTGAGTCTCAAAGGATTTTCGGTACTTTTACGATTAAAAATGTGAAACTTTAGCGGCCGTGTCGTTGATGAAACGTCACGTCTAAAACATTTTGCAGCCTTCATGGATGAACAACATGTCCGCCTCTGTCGACGCTTGCTTTTGTCTGCCTTCTCTTTGCCACCAGCGAGTGCCTTAAAGAGCTGAAGTGGATCTGAACCAACCCGCCAGAACCGGATCACAGAACTGAACGTTTCAGAAACACTTGGCACTAACTGAGCAGGCGACAGAAATTGTGAAACTGTCCCTTTAAATTCTCGTCCTGACCCGATTCTGATCAACTCCAGTTTGTTTCAGGCAGAAACAGAAACTCAAATGTGAACTTTGCTGCCAAATGTTCTGATCGTCGTCGAGGATCTTTGGGTTTCTGTGTTAGAATATGTGGAAGAACTTTAAGGCTCATAAGTCCGAATGTTTCTTCGGATCCAGTGACGGACTTTAAAGCCAGCGTTGCTGTTGGTTCCGGTTGTGAAGCGACGGCAGGAATGGTTTGGATGGACCAAGCTTTAGACTTTGAAATGGACTTGGATGTTACCAGAACGGTTCTGAAATAGACTGAAGCCCAAATCTGTTACTCTTCTATTGAAGTGGGAAAAATCCAGATCTAGGAAGTCCAAATATCCAATAAAGTTTGTTTATACAAATGAAAGAAAGGCGTCTTGTTTCGTTTTTCTGTTCAATGTTCTTCTTAAAATGAATTAACTGGGTTCCAGCTGAATGTTACTTTTACTTTTCTGTATTTTATAGATTAAATGCTAAAGAAATTAGCTTCTGCGCAGATGAGATGTTTGCAGCAGCCATATTGGATTTTTAGGTCGCAGTTGGAAAGGACCTCAAACTTTCCAAGTTGAAATCTTTTGACCATCGTCCTGCAGACTTTAAAAAGCAGACTTTTCTCAGTTTTATGTCTAATTTAGGAAGCTAAAGGAACCTGAGGTTTAATGGGTTGAACCAGCTGGACATTTTATTAGAACCAAAGTACCAGAGATTGGAAAAAACAGACGGTTTATGTTTCTATCCATCCCTGCTTGTTTTCACACCGTTTTCAGCTCAGTTGTGACATTTAAAGCCAGAAGAATCCTGTTTGGGTCTCTCCTCCTGAATCGGACCGGAACCACTCTGAGCCTCCGCTGCAGTTTCCTCAACAAGCCGCCATGTTTACATCCAGAGACACAAGTTAGTTTTTCAATCGTCTATTTTCTCCTTTGTTTGTGAATTTAGAGTAATGAATTTAATTAAAGTGAAACTCATAACTCCCATCGGAAGGCTAGTGTGTGTGTGTGTGTGTGTGTGTGTGTGTGTGTGTCTGAATAAAATTATGTTTAAAAATCTTTTATGGTTAATAACAGTAAAAAAGTGATGATTCAAATTCTGCTGCTTTCCTTTTTAACAGAAATGATCTGCAGACCGGAACCGGTCGGACCGGACTGGTTCTGATCAGAGGTGAATTCTGTGACCTTTGGGTCAGTTTATGTTATCAAACTTTATGACCTTTGGGTCAGTTTATGTTATCAAACTTTATTTTCTAATAAACATCAAAGTTTAGCGACTTAATTCTCATCTCTACGGTTTTTAAATGAAGTTTATCTACAAAGTAATAATTTCACTTGTATTTTAGGTAAAAGAAACACTTTTCCTTTTTATAATAAAACACAAAATAGCTTTAAACTGGATTTATTTAAATGCGTTGCATTTGGGTTTAATTATAGAAATACAACGCTGCCCCCTTGTGGTCAAAGAATACAACACATCCTGCAGAGATTTGTCTTATAAAAAAAGTTTTAACCAATGGTTTGCAGATAACTAAACAAAAAACATCACACAGCATTTAAATAATAAACTTTAAATCATTTGGCAGCTCAAACTGATGAAAATTAAAGATTCATTCAGTAAAAACAAAAAATTACATATTAACCAATATTAATGTTCCTAAAATGTTTTCAATTAATAAGAGGTATAACTTCTAGTAGTTGAAAATTTTCTGGAATAAATAAATGTAAAAATGTCACAAAATGAAAAGCATCCACTTACAACACTTATTGTGAAACTTTTACTTTATTTCTGGATTAAAGAATAAAAATGAACGTTTTATAAATTCAACTCAAAATAAAGTTCAGAGTTCAGGTTCTTCAACTTTGGCGGCCATTTTAAAATGTTATATTTAAAGATTAGACAATTTTCAGTGGTGACACCACACTGCCCCCTGGTGTTCACTAAATCTAACATCTTGCAGATTTTAATATTTTGAAAACTGGTTTTTATTTTTAACTAACCATCTCAGCATTGACGTTTCAATCTCCAAATAATTTCTCAGCTCACAAAAAAAGAACTAAACGTCTATTCAGTAAAAACAAACAGAAAAACATTAGAACTCTTAACCTGTCTTATTTAAATGCTCTTTAAGTGTTTTAAATAAATAAATAACAGATGTAATATTTCTAATAGATTAACATTTCCTGGTAGAAATAAACGTGCAAAAAAATAGTTTTACAAAATAAGAAGCATCCACTTTATTTCTGGATAAAAGAAGAAAAAAAATGTATGTTTTCTAAAAATAAGTCAAAATGTTTCCCTTCAACTTTGGCGGCCATCTAATAACATTTTAGTGGTATAATTTAAGAAATTAAATTATATAATTAATTCTCATCTCTACGGTTTTTACATGAAGTTTATCTACAAAGTAATACCAAGGAACCGGTGCAGCTGGATGTTTGCAGATTTATTATTATTAATCCTGTGGAGGTAGAGGTCAGCTAGAGGTCAGCTAGAGGTCAGCTGGAGGTCAGCTGGAGGTCGTTCTCAGCTGAGGAAGGTGAGGACGACGGACTGGATGGGCATCCTGCAGACGGGGCACAGCTTGTTTCTCCTCTTCAGCTTCCTGGCGCAGACGTAGCAGGACATGAGGTGTCCGGTGGCCGTGGACGATGCAGCCGTTTTTGGGTCGGGACTGGCAGATGAGACACGGGTCCAGACACGAGTCCGGCACCCGGGACTCGGCCAACACGCTGCGCTCCAGGTCCGGCACCGGGTCCTGGGAGTCGCCCGATGACGACGGCTGGGACTCGGGCGTCCACAGCTTCTCCTGGGAGGAGGAGGAGGAGGAAGTCTTCGCTCTTTTTCCATCAGGAACGTCGACGTTTTCCTCCACATCCAAACCTGCAGGAGACACAAGGAGTTAAAACTGGAAATTAAAACGGTTCAAAACATAAAAATTGAAATGAAATGAAAATGAAAAACCCAAAAAACTTCATATTTCAGCTCAGAATTCTGCAAGTTACAGTTTCAGCTTCAAATTCAGCAGATAAAATCGTCTCCTAAGAACTTTTTGTGTCCTATTTTTAATCTGTTTTGTAGCTTTAATTGAGATTAGCCATTAGCTTTAGCCTCCAACAAAAACATCTTTTTGGTTTTGTTGCATAACAACATTTGATTGAAACAAACTAATACACTAGAACCCACCTGGAGTTTTATTGGCAGCTGATTGGTTGGTGGGGAGGGCTTTGGGGTCGGCGGACGCCTCTGGCAGCCAATCGCGGCGCAGCGTCCAGCAGCGGAAGCAGTTTCTGGGCAGCGGCGGGTTCAGCTCGTCACACTTGGAGCAGCGCCAGTAGTCCTGAGAGTGAAACGCACCGAACTGAGTGAAGAGCAGCTAGCGCTAATGCTAATGCTAATGCTAACACGTTTTACTCACAGCCTCTGTGATCTCCGTGTCGTCGTCGAATGAGTCGTCGTCCTCCGCCTCAAAGATGGTGACTTCATAAACCTGAGGAGGAAGATCGATGATGAACAATAAAGTTACGTGAACATTTAGTTTGTTTTGCCGCCAGAATAGAAACCATTTTGGCTCAGTAATAATTCAGCTGATCTATAATTGATCGATTGTGGTTTCGTCTCACCTGGTCGTCGGCCGACAGCGACGCGTCGTCCTCGTTGTAGTCGTCCGAGTCGACCGATTCCACCTCGAACTCCACGCTGAAGTTGTCGCTGTCCGAGTCGGACGCCGCGATCGTGACCTCCGACCTCCCGGACCGGACGCTGTGGGAGTCGGACGACTGGCTGCCGCGGTTGTCCCGCCCACTTTCCAGCCCTCCAATCACGCACCAGGACAGGCTGTCGTCGAACGTCAGCGAGAAGCTGTCCGAGCGCCGCCGCTTCCTGCCGTCGTCCGACTCTTCGTCCTCCGACTGCTGCTCCTCTTCCTCTCCGTCTGTGCTGTGGGACGGACCTGCGAGGGGGCGGAGTTTATGCCAGGTGCATGCTGATTGGTGGGTTTCAATCCGCAGAAACTCACCTGAGTCGGTCCTCCTCCTCCTCCTCCTCCTCCTCCGCTCTGGAGATGGAGATGAACTCTCAGCTCCCTGGAAACATCAAATCAGTTTTGAATTTAAACAAAACTAATTGATAAAAATAAACATTTCCAGTGCATTAAATTATGAGCAGCAGGTTATTAAATGGTTAGTGAAACAATATTTCAAACAAAATGGAGGATCATGTTTTACAGCTGTTTAAGTTTATAAACAGGATGTTTAAAGGACCAAATAAACTTCTAATTTATCACTGAATGTTTTATTTATGAGTTTATTTGATCAAAACATTTGAAACTTTGATCAAAATGTTCCCAATATTACATCTTAATATTGTTTTTTATTTTTAGCAGAAAAAAGAAAAAGCTATATTAGAATTTAACAGAAATTTTGATCAAATTTCTGTTAAATTTTAGTTTGATTTGCATTAGGGGTTTTCAATGTGTGGCTCAGGGGCCATTTGTGGTCCTTGAAATTACATCATTTGGCCCCTAATCACAAGTCAAAAATCATTTCAAAATAAAAATACATTAGAAAAGAAAATATTTTTAAGTCAACAGTTTGAAGACGTTTTACGTTTTGAATCATTAATGATGTAGAGATTTTATAAAATAGTTTTTTATTGAGCATGGAAATAAAAACGAAACTAATAAATACAATTTTATTAAAAAAGTAAATTAATCTTTGTAATTTTTGCCAGTTTTGGCATCAAGGAAAAACATCTAAAAAAATTAAATAAAATTCTCCATATTGAGCCTTTTAAACAATATTGTAGATAAATTACATTTATTTCTTTACATTTTATGGCTAAAACACATTAAAAGCATCATGTTAGTGATCACTTCACCATTTGTAGCAAAGGATGCATCTGCAGCTAAAAAATAGATTTTTATCAATTAAAATCTAAATTAGTTGATTATTACAATCATCACAATAAATCAGATTATTTCAACAAACACATTGATTGTTTTTTTTTCCTATATTATCAATATAAATATTGATGATAGTGAAGCTGTAACGACTTGTCTCACCTCCGTCCTTCTGACCGTCTGGCTGCTGTGAGCTTCACTCAAATCCGTCTTTGAATCTGAAAACAGAAACAAGTTTATAATTAACATTTCAATCTAATAAAACATCTAAAATGTTCCCTGTAAATCCAACAGATCAGTTACATTTTCAATTGGATCAAATTTAAACTTTTTTTTATAAAATGTTTTATTTCTCTCTAAATTTCAGTGTATTTTTCTTCCAAGTTGTCAGATTTAATCGGAAAAAATAATCTGTAACATTGATTATAGTTTAATTTAGATAATTTCTTTACAAACTGAAGTCGGCCCACCTGGGTTCCTCACAGCCTCCAGGTTCTTGGTGATCATTGCAAACAAAACCCTGAAACAGAAACACGTTTCAGTTCCAACATGGCGGAGGAATCGGAACCAGAACCAGAACCGGAACCAGAACCAGAACCGGAACCAGAACCGGAACCGGAACCAGAACCAGAACTGGAACCGGAAGAGACTCGGACTCACCTTGGTTCCTTCACGGAGAAGCTGTCGACGCCCAGAACCCGGCCCAGAGCGTCCTGAGCGCAGTGGACGATGTGCTGCTGGTTCTGGTCGTACAGCTGCCTCTGCATGATGTACTGACCCAGGTAGAACATCACCTGCAGAAAGCAGCCAATCAGAAAGCAGAATTCTACAAGACCCGCCATATTTGGAGGAAACTACATTTTTATGCTTCAGATATTAAGAAAAAAAAAAAAAAAAACATTCATTCTCTGGCACAGAAAAAATATCCGACAAAATGCAGCTAATTTTTCCAAGATTTTTTAAAATTAATTTTCTTATTGAATTAATAAGTAATTTATTTAACCCTGGAGATTATTAATATGGTGCACAAAAGAAAAGACTTTTAGCCAAATGCTTCAGGCCTGTAGCCAGGTCGTTCCTCCAGCCACCGGGGGGCGCTGAACTCAATGAAAACTGGATGTGGAGCTATCAGATGTGGAGCTATCAGATTCAGTTGTGAGTTTCTTCACATTCAGGTTATTTGAGTCTTTTTATCAAACTTTACATGTAGCATCTATAATTAGCTACACTATAAAACTGTTAAAATCCTGAAATACGACGACTGATTATATTCAGTTAATGTCTTACAAATTCTTAACAATTCGGCTAAACTGATCCATTTATTTATATTTCTGGTGTTTTTGACATCTTTTGAAATGCTAACGCTTGTAGCATTGCTAGCGAAACGTCTAAGCTTATTTTCAGTTTATGCTAACAGAGAATTGAATGTATTTTCAATTATGTTTGCTGCACAACATATAATTAATGAATTATTGAACATGCCAATTTCTGATTAATTTGAAACTTTAAATTTAAAAATGTAATCCCAGAATGTTTAAATTTAAACATTAGAGGCAAGTTTATATTGAATGTTTTTGCTGTTTTCTTTAACCATAAATCTCTTAAAGGTGTAAAGATGGTATGAATTTAAACACTAAAGGTCGTTCTGTACCTCCTTTATGGTGAAAACGTCTTTGGTGGCGCCGGCGTGTTGCAGCAGAGAACCGAACTCCTCCTTCGGTCTCACCTGAGCACAAACAGCAAGTGAGTGACGCAGTAAAACCAGGAAGTGGCAGTTTAAATTGGCAGCCGCGCTCACCAGCTTGTTTTCATTGACAAACTCCCCGCCAGCTGACATGGTGATGCCGGTTGCTGCAGCGCACAAACATAAACAAAATGAGTTATTTCTGAGGTTCTGCTCAGTTTGACCCAAACTGGATGGATTAAACCAGAAACCAGGAAATTAAAAAGTCTGTGACAGTTTATAACATAATTAACATGTCAAATAAAAGCAGAACTGAATTAGTTAAATGTAAGTAAATACAACAACCTGCTTTTTAGTGAAGAGAGAAAAATGTTTAAAAGGTGATTATTCCTAAACAACAAACATTTTAAACTTTTAACAAAACAAGGTTACAACATGTTGTAATGGTACAATAATCAATAAATCATTAATCAATTAACAGTATTAAAAAATTAAAGCTAACAAAATTTCTCTTTCTAGCAAAAACTTTGCAACAGAAATGTTGTTCATAATTTATTTAGTTTATTTCAGATATTTCAAACGTCTTCCAGTTGCATTTAAGATTTTCTGAATATGTTCTTGGATTATTAAACCATTATATTACTTGAAAATGGTTTCAAAACAATATTATCTATTTTCCTGACTGGAATATCTACATCAAAATTAATAATCAGATTCCAGACACATCCAGTCGTTAAATAAAAACTGTTCAGACAATTTATTCACTTTAAACGTCACAATAAGATTAGAAATCCTGAAAATAATTTTCCAAACCTTTTTGTTTTTAAAACAATTTCACTCCAGATGAAGCAGAAAATGAGTAGAAATTATATTTCTTACCTGAGTTTATATCCAATCTGGCCTCAGCAGCCCATCCTGTGCAAAACAGAGCAGATAAAGTGCAATGAGCAGCGCCACCAGAACCAGACCTCTTATGCTCCCACTCAGACATGTTGGGACTAGACCGGCTGCTTGGGCCGCCCAGTCCGAGCCGGCCTATCCGCGGCCCTGCAGCGCTGACTCATCAACATGAAGCAGCAGCAACTGATTGAATCAGCTGCTGCTGCTGCAGACATGCCAGGACTAGTTCACTGACTCACTATACCAGTCAGGTCACCACGACAATCAGCTGGAAACCAGTAACCAACTGAAGTAAGAGTAAAAATACTTTAACATATTTTACTTATTTGGCAAAAAGTTTATCAAGTAACTGATCAAATTATGAGTCATTTAATGCTTAAAAATTACATCATCAGATGGATCAAAATAAAAAGTTAAGTGGAAATCTAGTTTTTTAAGGACCAAAATGACAAAAATTTGTAAAACACAAATAAAATCAGGCAAAATAAACTGTTTTAAAATCAGTTTCTTTCAATAAAAACTTATGAAACTTTAACAGAAACTGCAGCAGTGAGTCTGATTCTGCTGAGCTTTTATTAAAACAAGTTTATTTTTCATGCACTGGGTAGAAAATCCAGAAATTTTACTCAAGTAAGAGTAGAAAGTACAGTAGAGTAAAAAGACTCCTAAAACTATTTTTTTTCCAAAAAGTTTCTGAAGTAAATGTAACAAGTTACTAAAAAGTCAAAATTATCCCAATAAACTGTTAATATATTAATAAATATTTATGTCTGTGTTAAATTTGTTGTTCTTAACATTTCATAATATTAAACATTTTTTCAGCTCCTCTAGAATTTCTCGACTGTTTTTGTGATTTTTTAACACTAATTTAGAAATTTTAAAGGACCACATGAAGAGCTACAGCGGCCCAGATTTGGCCCCCGGGCCTTGAGTTGAACACCTGTGCTCCGTCTCTTTAAAATGAATAAAAAGTTTGTGTCTGGACATGTTGACTGGTTGATTTGTCCTCCAGTGTTGGGCAACAACATTTTAATCATTTAACCAGAAACAAAATGTAAACAGAAAAAAATTTGTTTTAAAATTCAATAAGACACAAAAACGTCAAGAAGACAGGAACCCGATTTCCCTCGTTTTATGGTTGTTTTCAAACAGTTTTCAAATGCACTGAAATAACAGAATATTACCATTATTAGTATAAAAATACTACAGTCCTTAATTTAAAAAGTGTTATAAATTTAACAAACTTTTTTTTAGGTCTTTCAGCTCCGAGTTTCATTTGTTCCCGAATTAATACTTAGAAATTTGAAACCCTTGAAATAATAATACTAAAATCCAGATTCAATTTTAATTTCCTCCCACATTTAAAACTGTCTCATCTGAGTTTAAAAAAATATTACTTTTAACCATCTTTTTCCAACTCCAACTGTCACTTAAAATAATTTCCCCCATTTGTGTTGGTTTAAAACAGGTTTTAATAGAAATTTAAAAAATAAAAGTTATAGGGAATATTTCTTTAATTCCTTTTATAATTTGGTGTCCAACATTAAATTCTAAGGACATGTAAAGAAACTTAAATTATAATATCTTATTCAAAAAAGGAGAAATAAAGTTTGTTAAACTAAAAAAACATTTTTAAAAAGTAAATATATTTTTTACTGATCAGTTCAAGCAGCATAATTGAATACTGTAAGTCTTTCTTTCCATGGTGCTTTCTGCTTTAATATAAGGTTTTTCCATAAATGTTAATATCTCTTTGTGAAATATCTGAAGTTTTATATCTTTTTCTTTAGGATAGAAAGGCACCAAAAACCTATGATATAAACAAAACCTGAACATGAAAACGGCCCTTTAAACCATCCAGACACAACAGACACAATCAAAACTGTCAGATGATTTATTACCCAGATAATAACTTGGAAAAAGACCAAATAGTTTGAATGTATTTTTATTTCTTTCCTACTTCAGGAAAGTTTCTGTTTACATCATAGCTTTGTGTTGCTTTTCTATCCTAAAGAAAAAGACATAAAATCTCAGATATTTCACCAGGAGATATTAGCATACATGGAGAAACCTCACATAACCTTATATGAAGGCAGAAGTGCAGTGGCCACCGTAAGAAGGGCTTACAGTATTCAAATATGCCTCATAACTGATCAGCAGATTATTGCGAGGGAACACAAAAGAAAAAACAAATATCCCCTGGAGGCCTCCGTACATAAATGCTGCTCATTTATGCTTTTTCTAACAGTATTTCTTATAGATTCATATGTAAAAAAAACAAAAGTTTATCTAAACTTTAGTTTATTTATATTCAAAATGTACAAACTGTGCTGACACGTTTGTTAAACCCTTCATATTTTGTTTCCAGTCATTAAATTTTTTATTTTATTTTTTTATCTCATTTTCTTTAAACATAAAGAACTAAAAGTTAAAGACATTTTTTTTTAGCAAAAATGTGTAACTTTGATAATATTTCCTCATGACTGATATATACAGAAAACTAATCCACACAACTTTCTTACTTATTGCCACATTTTTGTTAAAATGTTTGTGAAAAAAACACTTTTAAATTGGCTAAAATCTGTTTCAAAAGATTTTGTGATTTGATAAAAAATATTTAAAATATTCTGATATTTGTTGCAACAATCTTAATGCTGTAATTTGAGATCCAGCCCTTTAAGTAAAACTGTGTATAAGTTTTAGTTTCACTAAATTTGGTTGGATAAATAATTTATGTAGAAACTTTACATATTTATGTGGCAAACTCATAAAATAATCGTATTTTTCTGTTTTATTTGTCGATTTCTGTAAAAAGTGTAAATGTAACTGATTAATGTTAATAAAGTGGGAAATAAAAGCAGAAGCACCCAGATTTGCACAGATGAATGTGGGCTCGTGTTTTAGTCCAGAAACATCAGAATGTTTGCTCCAAGCTAATGAACCGCTTCTGGTCCGAAACTAGCGTGTTGGACGGATTTGTCCGGACTTGTCCCGCTCCACTCCCGCCCACTCAGACCTCACGGAGTCAAAACAAAGTCTGCCGTGACACTTAATTATTCCTTCTAACATATTAAGGTTAGATTAAAAAGCTAAAACAAGAAGATTTTAAAATAAATGCACATTTAAACGGTGCAGTCCAGCTGTCTTTATTTATGCACGAATGTTTATAACGGCTGTGTCAGAAAACTACACGTAGATTAAACTTAAGTTGCATTAATAAAAATTAAAAATAAAATAACAATTTATTTTAGATAAATAGCGAGTTTTCTAACTTTGGAAGAACAAAACACTTCGCCCGGAGCGTCTCTCCCTCCCATGGAACAGGCGTTCCATTCCGGAACGTCTGTTAGGAAACTCCGAGGCTCTGCGGCCTACTTCTACTGACGATAACTTCGTATTTCTGCTAAAATTACTATGTAAAAAAACACGTAAGTAATCACCCTTAAATTACTCACCTTTAACAGCTTGGTAAACAAATTCCTTAAATGTTCATTCAATTCCAGTATTCCGAAAAGCTTTTCGAGTATTTAGACCTCGTTTTCGTTCCTTCCAGTTTATATTTCGGCGCCCTAGTGACGTTATGGCGCCCCTAGTGTCCGGAGTCTGTGGTTACATAACTCCAGTATGGTGAATAAGTGTTTAGATTATTTTACTGAAAATTATAATTTTTTCTCTATGTGGATGATCCAAACATTCATAAATGTCTCAAATACTTTGTTAGCCTTCTCTTATATTAAAGCTGAATGTGGCCCTTCAGCTGTTTAAGGTCTCTAGTGAAACAGACCTGAATCAAATGGCTGAATTGCCTCCTCTGTGTTATGTCAGGCTCTCCAAAATTCCTGCAAATGGTTACTTCAATAATCTATTATTCTAAAAGAAAAAGTCACATTCTGCTTATTTTCATTTAACCACTTTAGCCCTTTACACTAAACATGCAAGTTCATAATTCAAATCCTGTTTTAAATAAGAAAAACATTTTATTGCCTAAAATGCAACAATATAACACTATTATTTTTCTGAACAGAATTTGGATCAGGTAAAGATAAAACTGCCACTTGAGTTCTGGGTGGAACATATATACCGGTGTTTCTACTAAATGCAAAATGTGTATTTTTTCTACGATTTTCACTTAATTACTGCTCTGACATGTTCTTTCAGCAAATTGCCTTTTCTGCGCCATTATAACAGTTAATCAGTTACTAAATTAGCTGCAATCACATGTTTTACACAGTTGTTAGCTGCATATAGTTTGTGGACCAAAGTTCCACAAAGTGAGAAAAGATATTAGCTCATTTTTTTATTTCTTTGGAGAACAAAAACAAGGATTTTATTAAAGAGGAACCAAAAGCATATATTCACAGCTCCCCTATGAGAGAAAAAGCTTTTATTTTTGCAAAAACAAACATTTAGAACAACAAGAGAATAGGAATTCAAACAATGTGGATGTGTGGAGGTTTTTCTCTGAGGTCACTGCTGAAGGTCGTAGCCCAGCGGGTCGAGTCCCTGGTCCAGCAGAGCGAGCGACGAGTCCCGCAACTTCTGGAGAAACCTCCTCAGCTCCTCTTTAGAGAAAACCTGCAAAGCAGAAAACCTTCATCAACATTTCAATCAATAAATGTCATCTCAGAGCAGAGAACTGCGACGGTGTATTAGGGCCATTGTACATAGAAAAAAAGGAAAGAGGAAATTTCCTCCAACAAACTCAGAAAGTTTGAGATTACTCACATATTTTTTAAAATTAAAGTTAAAATGTCAAACATTTGTTCAAAACAAACTCAAATTTTGAGATCAATCTGGAGGTTCTTAGTTTTAAAGTGAAAAAAAAAATCTTTGACTTTCCAGATTTAGGAGAATTGAGATTAATCTCAGAAATTTTGAGATTAATCTAAATAAAAAAATTCCTATTAGAAAAAAATATATTAGAAAAAAATATATTAATGCCAGTATTCCTGAATCTTTCCTTTTTCTCACACATTTTTAACTTTTGGAGCACAGAAATTTCTAATCTCAAATTTTCAACCATCTAAACTCAAAAATGTTTTTTCTTGTAAATTTTTGAATGTTGGAGCTTGGAAATGTTACTCTTATTACCAAGTAATCCTAAATTTTTTTTGACTTTTTGAACTCATAAATTTTATTTTTTTCTGGAAAATTCCTGTCTTTGGAGTCAACTTCCTTCTTGTTTCCATCTGCATGGCCCCAGCGTCCTGCCGTAGAGAACTGACAGCCGATTAAAGCTGGAGTTTATCCCAGTTACCTGGTAGAGTTTATGCTGGTCAGATGAGATGATGTCGGCAAGCCGCAGCGCCTCCTGGTGTCTGGAGGAACTCTGCAGCACGCTGAGCAACAGGAAGGTGAGGCGGGGAAGACAGAGGGAGCGCAACGCCGCCATCTGGTGGCTTCGCTCCTCATCTGGCTCCGATTCCTAGGAACAAATACACACAATTAGTGTATTTCAGTCTGGCGCAATAAGCAACAATCGCTTGGTAAATTCAAACGAGCTCAATAAAATGTTTATTTCTTGTTTTCCGTTTGTAGCTAAAGGAGGGAAACCTAAATGAACGAACCTTTCTGTTGTCGACCATCCAGCCTCCGTCTACAAACAGCAACACGTTGTAGATTCTCTCCTTCACGTCTTCAGTCAAGACATCAAGGCGACTCGACCACTCCGTCCTGGAGGCCTGAAGCACAAAAACACTCGATTCACACCCAACTGGAACTGCAACATGCCGATCTTCATTCCGATTTCAGACATGTTGGGACTAAACTTTCTGTTTGTTTTTGAACAGAACAATATTTTATCCCTGAATCTCAGAGAGCAACACAAGCAGTGTTTTCTTCCCCACTGTCGCCTCATGCTTGCTCAACTGGAGGAACTGCAGCAAAGGTAACAATTCAATGAAATCTGTTTGCCTGTCTCAGAAAACTGGAAATTTAATAATTCATTTGATTTCAATTGGACAATATGTAGATGGAGCTGAATTTTTTCAGAAAAATAAATTCATTCTGTGAAAAAGTTTAATATTTGCTCCCTCATTTCAGAAAGTGAAATCACACAAACTGAAATATTTCAAGTCTATTTCTTGTCATTTTCAAGTTGGAGATTAGAGGCTCAAAGCAAAACTCCAGGTTTGTTTTTGATGAGGGAAAACTTTAGAACATGATAAAAAAAAAATTTAAAAAAGGAGATTTTACACAATTACGCCTAAGAATCTGTTTTTACCTGATACTCCTTCTCTTTCATCTCATTGGCCACTCGCTCTGTGAATTTGGCTTCTGGCGCCAACGCCGGCCTCTGCGGAGCAGAGCTGCTGTGGCTGAACCAGTCAGTGAACGCCTCATGGGCTTCCTGTAAACGGATACCGTTAGCATAGGTACGGCACGCTGATGTCATCAGAGCCCCGCCCACTGACCAGGTAGGCTCTGATGCACAGGTGCTCCCTAATAGCGTTCTCGTCCTCAGCAGGAAGGGGAGCAGTCTGACCGACGGCGGTCCACTGCGAATAAATCTCCCTCATCGAATCCTCGGGAACCTTGGAGAAAACGGCCTTGGCCGCGTCGTGTTTCTGCAGTGCTGAGGCGGAAACAAGATGGCGGCGCTTTCAGTCACAATACCAGGAGAAAAGATTCAAAAAAGAATAAAAAATCTCCAGATGGCAAATCAGAAGTACCCAGGAAGTTCCTCATGATGGCGTTGGACTGCTTCAGCGCCTCGGCCCGGTGAGCGGGGTCAAACAGCAGCCAATCAATGACGTCAATCTTCTGCTGGTCGTCCTATGAGAGCAGAGGAAACGGTGACAGGTAGGAAGGAAGAGAGGAATTAAGGATTGAAGGAGAGGAGAAAGAAAGGAAAGTAGGAAGAAATGTAGAAAGAGGGTAGGCAAGATTAGAAAGGAAGTAGAAAGAAAATAAATAAATTAGGACACATGGATGGCAGGAAAGAAGAAAGGAAAAAAGCAAAGAAGGAGGAAGGGAAAGAAGGAAACAAAGGAGAGAAGAAAGGAAGAAATTTAAGACAGATTCGATGAACCAGATTTTTCTTCCTGGTTCCATGTTGAACAGAAAAAGATCAACTGCAGTTCAGGAAACCCTCCTAGAAATTAATGTTAAATATGAATCGTTGTATGAACACATGTGGTTTCAGCTGTAAATGATCCTTCGCTGGTTTTTACCTGAGTCGTTCCTGTCTCCAGCGTCTGGCTGTGATGCGTAAAACCTGCGTCGTCTCTGCGCCGCACCGTCTCCACCACCAGCCGGGTGATCGCAGAAACGTCCAGACCTGAACACAGACGCTCAGTGTTATTCAGAGAGCTGGCCGCCAGGGGGCGCTGTGGAGACCTCAAAGTGACAGGGAAGGTGAGAAAAAATACAAAATTTATCCCATAACTTAAACCCTAAATGTTTTATTTAATCTTTTTTTTTATATAAAAAATACGTTAAAATAATTTATTTAAATTATTAAAATGTTTTAGATCCATCAAACTAGAAAAATGGAAAAACTGAAAAGAACCAACTGCTGAAAAAAACCCAAAAGGACTATCACAATAAAATAAAATTAACATGTCTGTCACAATAACTAATGTTGCTCAAAAATACATTACCCAGAAGTTACAGCAATAAACAATGTTTATTAAGACCATTTAAAATAATATAATAAGAATGTATTCTCAAATATCAATAATTTTAAATTATAGTGAGTGTTTAACACTGTGTCTGTAAGACATTTTAAATACCCAAAATAAATGAACAAAAGCAACAGAAACATAAAATAAATTTTTGAAGACTCTGTGAACAAAATTGTCCTTTAAAAAAAAAAAAAGGCTAGTTGAGATCAAAACATGAAAAGAAAACTTATTATTCAGTTTAAGGTGCAATTAATTGATTTAATAACATTTTATCATAAATAGACAGGACTGTTATTAAAAACTTCATTAACAATAACATTTTCTGCTGCAGAACTCATGGTCATCTAAAATCCAGAGCTAAGAGGCAACACTTACGCTGAATTATTTTTAAAAATTGTGGAATGATGAATAAAAAACTAAAAGCTTTGCAATAATGTCTGCAGGTTTGCAACAACCGACCTGCTGCAGTTGCCAGCTGCAGGCAGCGGGGGCGCCGCTCCGGCTGGCTGACCGTCTCCAGGAAGGCGGCGTACTGGTTGGTGGCCAGCGCCGCAGGAAGCTGACCCACGTAACTCGCCACCAGGTCGGTGTGCTGGTCCCGGATCAGGAGGGAGACGTACGCTTTCAGCACGTCCACACACACTTCCTCCTTCAAAGCAAAGACATTATCTCACTGCTACTTCCCTTCACGACTATTAGAAATATTAAAAACAAAACCTTACCTTTAAAGACAAACCAAGAGAGCGGAAAAACAACACCAGGTGAGTCATGAAGCGCAGCAGGTGCAGAGGGAGGGGCTTAGAGGCTGTGAGCCAATCAGAAAACTCCTCCATCAGACCTGAGTAAGAATGAGCAAAAAAAATAAAAATCAACACACATATCAGAAATTGGAGATAATTTGTTGATTTTTAGCCACTTTTAGAGACTCTGAAAGAAAGTAAACACCCTTCAAGAACCCGATTCTAGTGGCAAAAGTATTTACACCCCTAAAAAAATAATGAAGTCAAACATTTAGTGAAATAATTTATTTTGTATTATGTTATTGAATTAGAGAAAATATCTGAATCGATATCAGAATTATTATTGGAGGGAAGGAGAGAAAGTAGGAAACATGGGAAGCAACTAGGAAGGAAGGAGAGACGTTAGGGCGCATGGAAGAAAGGAAGGACCCATGGAAAGCTCCTGATGGAAAATGTTTGGTGGGTGTGAACTTGTGCAAGGCAGAATAGCTCAGAATGCGGCGCCGTAAAGCTGACCTCTCTCAGCCACCATACAGGAAGTAAACCATGAGATCTCACCGTCCAGATCGCCAAGAATCACAAACTTTTGGATGATGTGAAAATGTTCTCTGCTCTCCTCCAGAACTCTCTGCTCCAACGACATAGAAACACATATTCACAGGTTACAGTCATGTGTTCATAACGTCGCCCCTCATTCATTCGTCAGAAGTTTCACCTTCGATTCTGACGCCTGGAGCTCCTCAAAGACTTTCTCCATGGTCCAGCTGAGAGGAAGAAAAGAAGATGGCAGAGAAATGAGAGACAAACTCCTCCTGCAGTTCCTCTTCAGCTCTTTGTCTTACTTGGTCTCCAAATATTCCCGCGGTAGTGTCTCCAGCCCCTCATGCGTCATGCCCGATGACATCAGTTCCTTTTCCACCAGCGAGTCCACCATAACCCTGAAGTACGCCCAAACGCAATCCTCCCACGACTCGCACACGGCCAGGATCTGAAACGGCCATGAGCCAGAAACTTTACGTTCAGATTTATTATCGAATAACGTAAAAATTAAGAAATCATTAAAGTATGACAGATTTAACCAGAGAGGCTAATTTCCATCTGTAGTTCACAAACAAGTTGTATTGTAATATTATTGAAGTTACATTACATATAATATTCATAGTGATATTAGATGTTTTTTATTCAAAGACTAAAATTCCACAAGTTAAAATTTACTTTTATTTCTTAATATTTTTAAATTAAAGTTGGGAATCAATCACCCAAGTATTTATTCTTTTATACCGGTGTTAATACTTGTATATCAACTGTAATAATTGGACCTTTCTCTTTATTTTTACATTTAGAAAAGAACATGCAAACTGTTTTATTGAACATCCTACCAAGTATTTTTGGTAGTTTCTAATGCAAACTTCTTAATTCACTTGAAATAAAACAACTTCTAAGTACATTTTCAGCGAGTTTGTTTCAAGCCAATAATTCCTGATATTGATGAAACATCTTTATGTTCAGAATGGGCCCAGTGTCGAACCTTGGGGTACACCTGCTTCATTCTGAGCCACCTGGGAAGTGAAACGCTCACCGGTTTGATGTTTCCACTCAGGCTGCCGTAGATCGCCCGTTCGTATCTGTTCAGCTGCTCCTGAAACAGAAACAAACAGTTCAGATTTGAATCGGGGCTGAACGATTCATTGTGATTAATCAACTATTAAAATAATTGTCAACCTAGTAATTCATTCATTATTAACTGTAGAACACAATCGAAAAAAATGCCAAATTGGTTAAAAAGTAACAAACTCAGGCCACTATCAAGATGGCTGTCAACTACAAAGATCCTGGAAGTGATGTCACATGATGACATGACAGGAACATTAAGCTTCTTTTGATTAATTATTTTTATTTGCATTTTAATATATTTCTAATATTGTGTAAGAAAATAGGCTTTTATGAAAAAAATACAGAATATGCAGATTTCTTATCCAATTAAAAGTCAGAATAATTGATGACTACAATAATCATTAGGTGGAAATGTGAAATGTGTCTGTTAAACAAAATTTTGTCTAAATTCAGTTGTGTTTGCCAGGAAAAAAAATAGAAAGCAACATAGGAGACTTGTTCATTTCACTTGCAAACATCTTAATTTATAAGTGAATATGTTGGACGCTGCAGGTGAAGGTGAGCGAACCTCCTCTGCCATCCTCCAGCAGCAGGCCTTCCAGATCCCTCGGTGTGGGTTTCCCTCAACAGGCTGCAGCTCTGAGTTTCCTGCAGGAACAGTCGGGTTATTCCTTATTTTTCTGTGGTCATCATAAATCCTATTTTTAAGATCAATAATCATGTCAACGTGTGGGCAGTGGTGACCTGAGGTCAAGTTGGGGTCATGGTATAGTTTCCAGCCCTCCAGAGTTGCTGCTCTCCAGGCCTGACCGCAGCGTTTACAAAGCCTCTGAGCCTGAAAACAAAATGCAAAACATGCATAAAAGCAATAAAAGCTGAAAGAGAAGAGAAATCCTGATTAACAAAGTGAAGTTTTCTCCACCTCATCTGTCATTCCCGCTCTGATCAGGGTGAACAGGTTCTTCAGCAGCCGGGCATCGTCTTCTCTGTCCAGGTCCGCCAGGGGGCGCTGTTGCCGGAGGGGAGCGTCTGGGTCCTGAGCAGAAAGATGCAACCGGTACATGCTAACATGCTAACGACACATCCAGATCCGTTTCCTCTGCAGAACCGAGCCTTACCAGCTCTGTGACCAGAGGAATGTGGAAGTCGGAGGAACCATTGCTCCTCATCTTCAGAGCGTGAAGCGTGTGCTCCCTAAAACGCAGACAGACGTTTTAAAACACAGGTGAGTTTCACCGAGGAATCATTAACCAATAAACTCACCAGCAGACGTTTTTGGCGTAATATTCAATATTATCGGAAAAATCTCCAATCTGATCCTTGGCGATGCTCTCCAGCCAATCAACCACCAGCTGCAGTAAAAAGCATTTAATCTCAATATTGTACATCGTATGCAGCTCATTACTGTTCAAAGTAGCAATGAGCAAAGATTAATCTTTAAATTCAATTCATATACAAAAATACTTTATGGTGAATTTAATAAAAAATAAAACCAGAGTTTTCTCTAGTATCAGGACTGAATATCTTTCCATAACTTAAAGAACTGAACCTTCCATAATCTGAATAAACTGAAAATTTTAATTTTCTCTTTAGTAAATTTACAAATACTTAGAAAATATTTTTAAAAATGTAACTACACTAAAGAAACTAACTAAAGGAACACAAACAATTATTTTTGCAATTTATTATTCTGATGATTAAAAAAAATAAAATTATTGTCATGTAACCACGTGAGCCTTTTTATTCAATATTAGAAATGCATTAAAAATGACAATAATAATAATTAAATTCCAATTTTTAATAAGAAAACAAGCATTTTATTGTCTAAAATGCAAATTCAAATAATTTCAAATGCTACTTGGGAGTTTTAGCTAAACATATTTACAGAGCTTGTTTTTATCTTAAATGCAAAATTTGTATTTATTTTGTGCAGTTTTGGCTTAATTACTGGTTTGAACTTGTTTTCTCAGCAAGTTAATGATAAATCGATTACTAAATTAGTCAAAGACAATTTCATTATCTTATTCAAGCTTATTTCTATTACATAAAATAATCTTAGGTTGTAAAATAAAACGCAAGGTGCCGTTTCTTGCGTGTTACCTGACTCTGTCGTACGACGGCGTCTCTCTGGAAAAGTTCCTCCATAACAACCTTCTCGCTTACACTGGGAACCTGCAGAAAAAGTTTTTAAAAATCTCATCTGGACTTTTCATCGGTTGCAGCACGACATTCTCTGACGGGTTTATTGCTCAAATGTGACCATGGTTAACAAACTTAACGACAGATGAAGAAATTATCTCTTATTTTTTTCTATTTTTTCTCTAAATTCAGGAATTCTTCTAATCTTGCAGCTTTTGTCTCATTTTTAATTAAAAAAAACTTCCACTTACCACCATGTCGATCATCATGTCCTCCTCCAGCGCCAACTGGACCCGATCTCTGCAGAGTCAGACACCAGGTTAATTTAAAAAGGCGACCAAGGCGTGCCGAGGGAATTGGATGGCTACCTGTAGAGAGAGGCGATGAGCCTCCAGGTGCAGTTCTCCTGCTGCAGCAGCCAGCGGACCCCGGCCGTCTTACTGTTCTGACCGGCTCGCAGCACCACGGACTGCAGAACGTTCACCTGCAACAGAACCAAGATCAGGTCCTGTCTTTTTATTCAGCAAGACACAGACAGAAATTTACATTTCTCAGACTCCATTTAAAAAAAAAAAAAAGCTAAACTCCATAATCCATCTTAACCATTGTTGTTTGGGTTGTTTTATTCATTTTGGATATTAAAAATGTTACAGTGTTCAATGTTCTTTAGAAATTAAAGTGTTTTTTTTTTGTGTGTGGGTAAACTTGCATTAATATTAATATTTAAGTTCAATATGGTATCAAAATAATGTCATTGTTTATCACAGTCACTTAGAACAAGGGCTGGACAACATGGCTGAAAAACATATCAGTTAATATCAGTAATTGATTGGTTATTTTGTTTTAAATAACATTTGGTGTGACCTTTCCTGTTTTATTCAGTTTTTCTCTCCATTCTGTTGCTTTTTATGTTTTGCTGTTTTGAGGAGAAACATTAAACTGCTCCTGCGCCAGTTACCCAACCAGTTGTTGCTAGGCAACTGAAGTTGAGGGGGAGGGGGGGAGTTAACTTGAAACTGCCAGCAATATTTTTTAATATTGAATATTCAATCACACATTTATTGTGACACTGATCACAATAAATCAATTACAATACGTATCATGACAAATATGAGATATACTGTTATTGATTTATCGTCCAGCCTTAAATAGAATAAATAAAAGTTAAGAAGCCGAACTCCATGGTTCTGTTTCCGGTACCTTCTCCTGGCAGATGTTCTGGTAATCCTCCAAGAGCTCAAACACAGCAGAAGAAGAGTGCTTCAGGAAGGAGGCCAGGAACTCTGGGAAAAGACTGGCGGCCACTGAGCCAATCAGAGAGCCCGATGTTAACACGTGATGATCAAAACGGCACAGCAGCCAATCAGACAGGAGTCCCTCACCAGCCTCTCCTGGGTCGTCTTCCTTCAGCAGCGCTGAGCTCAGGTTTGCCTCGTCGTCTCTGAAGAAGCTGCTGCTGTCCAACCCAGAGACGGGGGACGTATACAAGCTGTTGGTCCAATCGCTGTCCTCCAAGTTCTGCTCACACGTAAATAAATTAAATACAAACAAACCCAAATACAAGATGGACACCAGCTTCCGAATGCGTGTCTCACCAAGAGGTGTCGGGGTGTTTGTGTATATCGCGGCGTCCGAACGCCAGGGACCAAAATGGAGGAGACGTCTGGAACTCTGGGAGTGACTTGGAGACAAAAAGACAGGAGCAAACTTTGGGATTTAGTCCAACACGGAGCAGTTTCATGGTAATATTTGGACTTGGGCGATAAAACAAATTGTTTGGTTTTGAAGATTTAATCTTCGGAAAATCTGGATTTTTTATTCCCCCCTGCCAATGAACTTCTTGGATCTCCTTAGCTCAGTAACGTCAAGGCAGCAACCTTGTTTTGGACTTTGCATTCCAGTCAAATTTACAATGGAGTTTTAGGGCCAGGCTAAGATTTTCTTTTTTATAAAATAAAATTTATGATGTTACAAGAATACGTTTGTAATAATACCAGAGTTAAAGGTGTAATTTGACTCTGTCATTTGATATTGTTCTTCTAATTTTAAGTCAAATGTTAATAAAATGCTTTTCTGGCAAATATTTTATTTTAGATATCGTAACTTGACCCTAATTATTAATAAAATAAAATTCCCTGTTTGAAAATATTTTCTGTCAGTTGTAATTTATTTTTTAAGAAATTAAAATTGGAATCAAATCTAGATGGAAAATCTATTTATTTTTAACACATTGCCCAACCCTAAGCTGAACTTTGACCCTCACCGGCCTGTCGGAACAGGGAAGCTGGGGTGTTCCTCAGGGAGCGGGCCGGGGTGAACGAGGGGCCGATAGGGCTGGCGCCGGGTGACGGGACTGAGCACAGAGTCAGGAACATAATGCAAACTTTTCTCTGACAAATGATTTCCATGATTGGTTCATTTCAAACCTCCAGAAAAACAGAACTTAGCGAATGATCAACTAAACAATAACTGTTCTCTCATGTGCTACAAAGCTACTTAGCTATCAGGAATACAAACAGCATTTTAATAACATTACTGGACTCTGATTTTCTCTAATGGCATCTTTATCCTCTGAACTCCTGATTCACAGACCTGTGATTGGAGAACTCTCATGTAAAACAAAAATAATCTGTTTTCTCCAAGAGCAACAGTCAAAATCAAGATTTTTTTTTTTTATCTGAGCTCTCAAATAAAAGTATTTTCTTTAAGGATACAGGCCACTCTCTTCCTCCTGCGGGCAGCGACCGTCACCTCATCATCTCGCACCACTGGAGATGGCAGCTCATTCTGACCCCTTCAGGACAAAAAGACACTTGTGGTGAGTTGGTATTGTTATTCATTTGATCACTTAAAATGATCAAAATATGATGAAATAGTACATATGGATGGAGTTTAATGGGTTTTTCCTCCACTCAATTTTCCATCATTGTGTTTGTATGCATTGCTCTTTGAAGAGCATTCTCATTCAGCATCGACTTTTTATTATTTGCCATCTATTTAGAGAAATAACGTACAGTTTTCTAGACAACTGCCGAGTCAGTTGCGTTCCCAGTGAGTAGATTGGTGCAGTTATTAACTCTATACATGCTTTATATCTGTGATACTGCATGTTATGGTCACCCAACTCTATAAAATGGTGTTGGATAAAATTTTTATAGCGCACAATTTGAGTCTACCCCTTGAAAAGGTGTCGGTTGCTTCATAACAGTCGCCTTACTGGGTTTGTAAGCTCTCATACTTTCTGGAAAACATTCTTAACTCGTCTAATCTAACACGGGTGTGTTTTCAATTCAAATTAAAATGCGCTTTATTGATCCCGAACGGACATTAAATGTTAAATCTAGCATCATCAGGATGCTAGGTTTTGACAGTGATTGTGGACTGATATCTACTTTTCTGATACAGAAAAGCTCTAATAACATTAAATATCCTTCATTAAAGCTGTTATTATACGTTTTAAAGTTGACCCTCTTTATTTTCTCCATTTTATAACTCACGTTCATGTATTTATTTCCCAATTTTCAACTATGAACAATTTAAATAAACTGCAAACAAAATTAGCTTGCTAGCATCAGCATTAACAGTGCAAGGAAGGGTTAGCATTGTTAGCATAGTTAGCAGCCGCTAAAAAAAACTATGCAGCAAGAAAATGAACACAAACAGAATATAAAACAAGGAGCAAATTAAACACAACTAAAAACTTAAAATTGTACAATGACTTATTTTACCAGTCCATTTTGGAGAGCTATCAGTTCCCGCTTCACGAGGTTTAGCAGGCTTCCTTCTTCTCTTTTAAACTCTCCGTCAATTAACACGCTTAATACTCTCTACTGCCCCTCAGGTAAAGAGTTAGATTGCACCAACACGGAGCTCGTCAAAGCCATTTTTTAAAGTAAATTAAGTTTCTTCGTGTTTAAATGTTAAAGAATAACAACAATAACAAATAATTGACTTTTACGGTCCTTTAAAATAACCACTGGGCTAAACTAAAGTGTTTTACAATGAATGAAAAAATAAAATATATAAAGTCAACAATTGTCAAGTGCCTTTAGTAGGAAATGATTACAATTTGTGTAACTATTTCCTCCACGCTCGTGTTTTGCCAATTAGTTGTCTCATTGTAAAGTAATAAAAGATGAACAGACGGAAACATTATTATTGAGTTCTGGAGAATAGGCGCCATGCTTATAAAATAATTAAAATAGATATAACATTTTGAGAATGAAGTCATAATATTACGAGAACATTTGTGTGTGTGTGTGTGTGTGTGTGTGTGTGTGTGTGTGTGTGTGTGTGTGTGTGTGTGTGTGTGTGTGTGTGTGTGTGTGTGTGTGTGTGTGTGTGTGTAGGCATCTCTTTACGCGACCCATCTCTGCTCTCCTGTCGCCCCTCCGCTCCGTTAGCAGCCGCTGTGGCTCCGCGGTGTGAAACTCGGAGGAAACAGGAACAAACAGGACGACTCAGGCTTTAGTCAGTTGGACCGCTGCATGTTCACGGGCTGGGAAGAATAATCCACAGGTTCGGTAGAGATTCTGGCTCTGGAAACCCCGGGACTGCAGCAGGAAGGACGGGGAACCGAGGCTGGGATTGGCTCGGTTATTTCCGGAGCGGATCCCGAAGTGAAGCAGGGAAGGAGAAAGGAAGATGGAGACCCCCAGGTAAACTTTTCTTATTGCGTGGCAGTCTCTCAAACACAATGACAAGTTGTGTGTTTCTAAAATTAAAACTACATTTCTCATTAAAGCTACAGGAACTCACTTTTAAATTATTTATATAATATTTACAAAATTTGGGGGAAAAAATATATGTAAATTTTCCTGTTCATAAAGGATACTTATAAATCTTTGGAGTCAAATGTCTCCACTGAATAACGAGGCTTTCTGAGCTGTTGAGGACTAAAGGTTGGGTTTGATTCCTGTATTAATGTTGAAAGTCACTGTAGTTCCAGACTTTATTCTCTGTCCATCAAATTGTTGATGCATTCATCCATCTGCTCATTTGTCCATCTTTTCAACCCTCAATTTGTTTACATGTTCAATAATTTGGTGAAGTTTTGTGCATCCATTAGTTTCCTTTTTTCCAATTCATTTATCCAAAATCCATCCATTCATCCATCCATCCATGTTCTATAAAAACTGTACTATCTCTGGATCCGTTTGCTTCTGGAGTTCAATATGATAATAATAATAATAATAATAATAATAATAATAATAATAATAAAAGTTGAGTTTATGAACTTTGGATCAACTCACTTCTAATATTCTTATCTTTAGATTGTATTTTCTCCGATCTGCTCTTTCTCCTCTGTAGTCCTGCATTTTGAGCGTGACAAATCCGACCTGGGAAAAGTTGAACTGGGAGCCATCCGGAACCATGGCCCAGCAGCTCTTTGGGCTTCCAGCCAACCGGCGAATCATCACCGGCCTGCTGGTCAACCTCTTCTCCTCCATCTGCATCGTCTTTATCAACAAGTGGATCTACGTCCACTACGGCTTCCCCAACATGACCCTCACCCTCGTTCATTTTGTGGTCACATGGTTGGGACTCTACATCTGCCAGAAAATGGACATTTTCTGTCCAAAAAGCCTACCAGTGCGCAGGATCATGTGGTTGGCACTCAGCTTTTGTGGCTTTGTGGCCTTCACCAACCTCTCTCTGCAGAACAACTCGATAGGCACGTACCAGCTGGCCAAAGTCATGACCACGCCCGTCATCATCCTCATCCAGACCACATATTACAAGAAGACTTTCTCTACCAAGATTAAGCTGACGCTAGTGAGGAAAATCTATATGTATCTATATAATCTATAGGGCTCAAACGATTAATCAGAATAATAACAATTAATCATTACTAATTGTGATTAACTGTGTGTAATTGGGACTAATCAGAATAATCGCAACTTATTGCATAAAGTAAAATTGATTGGGTTAATTGTAACTAATTGGAATACTCACAATTAGCCAGCTAAATAATGATTAATCAGAGTAATTTTGATTGAGTTAATTGCAAGTAATCAGAATATTTGCAACTAATTGAATTAATAATCCAATTAATTAACTAATCAATTTTACTTCATTCAATAAACAAATTGAATTGTTTATTTGCATGTTTTAATGTATATATATATATATAATATTGTGTAAAGAAGGGTGAAGTGATTAAATGATAAATCTACAGAATGTGCCAATTTTTTAATCAATTATAAATATAATTGTTTGTTGTAGTAATAAAAGCCTAATTTTGGAAATCTGCTATTTCCTTGATAAAACATTCAGTTTTGCTTCATTTGTCCTTCCAGGTACCCATAACTTTGGGGGTGATATTGAACTCTTACTATGACGTGCGTTTCAACCTGTTGGGGACGGTTTTTGCCACACTGGGGGTTCTTGTCACTTCACTTTACCAAGTGGTGAGTAAATATCCACCCATGGATCCTCTGATAGCAGCAAACAAAACTGAAATGACGCTAAAACCCTTTTTGTGTTTCAGTGGGTGGGAGCGAAACAACATGAGCTCCAGGTGAACTCAATGCAACTTCTCTACTATCAGGTAAGAAGTCTGGTGCAGGTCGAAGGTCAGTTATTGCTCCTCGTTGGGACTTTTCTAATCATTGCTGACTCACAACATGTGCAGTTTTTGCCCTACATGCAAAACGCCATATTGGTCAAAAACAGACGCTGCAGCAGCAGCGTCATGCTGAAGGGGTACGTTTATAAAGCAGGGGAACTCCTAAATACTGGCTGATGATAGGGAGAAAATTTCTGCCAGAGCTGTAATGTCTTAGATCAGAACATATATTAAAATGGCCTAATCAAAGTCCAAACCCAAATGTAACTATTTTACGACTAAAACTGCTTTTCACAGACGCACTTCACCCAGTTTGGCTAAGTTTGCTAAGAAGTATTTGCAAGAATTGTAGCATCTAAATGTGAAAAGCTGGTGGATACAAAAACTGAAAGGCCGGAAAACAAATACATGCCACACTTTTCAGATTTCCAAAGAGAATTTTGAGAATCTGTGCATTACTTTTTTCTTCATTTTCATTATGTGTATTTTTAAATGAAATTAGTTTAAAATATATGTATTTAATTTCATGATTTAAATGTATGTTACATAATTTAATGAGACATTCATTTATTTCATTGCATATTTGTTTAATCTTGTCCCTTCTGGCCCTCCGTACACCTCAGGCTCCTCTCTCATCCGCCATCCTCCTTGGGATCATCCCGCTGTTTGAGCCGCTGGCCGGAGACGGCGGGATATTCGGACCCTGGTCATTGCCTGCTCTGGTCAGACATCAAACATGCTAATGCTAATGCTAATTCGCAGCAGCTAACCCTGGTTTTTTTCTGAAGTATGAACGTTGCTGTTCTCCCTCTGACCAGGTGGCGGTGCTGTTCTCTGGCGTGGTGGCGTTCCTCGTTAACCTTTCCATCTACTGGATCATTGGGAACACTTCGGCTGTAACGTATCCTTCAGGCACGGAGGGGAGGGAGAGGTGATGAGGGCTCAGGTGGTTCAGGAGGGATTATTTGTTTATCCGTCCGTTCAGCCATCCGTTTGTTGTCCCTTGATTCCCTCCTTCAGCTACAACATGTTTGGTCATTTCAAGTTCTGCATCACTCTGATTGGAGGATATCTGCTCTTCCACGACCCGCTGTCTCTTAACCAGGTGAAGCTAACTTCCTCTAGCTCTTCTCTGTGGAGTCAACCATTAATATCCTGCTAAGCTCTCTCCGTGTCTATCTGTCTCTCTGTCTCTGTCTGTCCATCAGGCGTTGGGAATTCTCTGTACGCTGGCAGGAATCCTGTCCTACACTCACTTCAAGCTGCTTGAACAGGAAGAGGGAAAAAGCCGCCTGGCTCAGAAGCCATAGGCTGACCTCTGACCCCTCACAGCAACCAGATGAAGAAACCTCCTTAGATGTCTCAGAATGTCCTTCAGAGGAACAAAACATTTCTTTAAAATTTGACTCTTCAGAAAGAGAAGCGGAAACAAATCGCAGCATTGTCTCAACTCAAAATCCAAAGCAATGTTAGCTTCAAAAAACAACATTTTCGTTTTCAAAAAAGATCAGGATAACGACCTTTCAGGAGTTTTTGTTTGGACGGATTTGGGTCTGAGTTGTCTGCAGAATTTCCTGCAAATATTTGAGATTTAGTTGACAAACTGGACAGTTTTAGAGCAACAGATCAACAGAAATCAGACCAAAACAAAGCGTTTTGCTGACGGTGCCTATTCTGAACATCGTTTGCGCTGCCACTCATCATGGGCTTCAGTGTTGTTCATTTTAGGTGTTTAATGATTTATTTAATCATATTCTAGAGTGATTTTGATTATGTAAAACAACGACTGCCTTTTTATCAATCAAGTTTGAAGCATATAGGCTTTTTACAAAGAAAACAAAATACACCCTCTAATGTTTGGTTAAATGTTTGAGGAGCAAAGAAGTCGACTATTTCAGATCATTCACTCCAAATACATCAACTCTTATCAAGTAATCTTCAGCAACAAATAGGAACCTGTTTTAGGTCAATAATTTCTTAATATTGATGAAAAAGTATCAGTTCCACTGGCAGATTTTCTCTTGTAGTTTTTCATCAAATTTAATTAATTATTAACTGAAAATAAGATAGACTTAGACTTAGACTTAGACTTGACTTTATTGATCCCTTGGGAAGACTCCCTCAGGAAATTATAGTTACCAGCAGCTCACAGGCAAAAATGTGGCACACAGTAAGCATACATAAAAGAATACAAAAAAATACAAATTAAATACAAAACAAAGAATATAAATACAACACAAAGGAAATTATAGCAATTTGGTGGATAGATTGACCAGTGATATGGTATTGCACTGTATGGTTTGGCCTGATAAATATGGAGTTCACATTTGTAGAAAAACTACTCCTTCTTCCCTCTGTCCTGTGTCACCTCCGACCCCCCAGTGAGGAGTTGTACAGTCTGAAGGCGTGGGGGACAAAGGAGTTCTTGAATCTATTGGTCCGGCACTTGGGAAGCAGCACTCTGTCACTGAACAGGCTCCTCTGGCTGCTGATGACGGCGTGTAGAGGGTGGCTGCTATCGTCCATGATGTCCAGCAGTTTGTTCAGTGTCCTCGCCTCTGCCACCGTCACCAGAGAGTCCAACTTCATGCCGACCACAGAGCCGGCACGCCTGATCAGTTTGTCCAGTCTGGACGTGTCCTTCTTGGATGTGCTGCCTCCCCAGCACACCACGGTGTAGAAGAGGACAAGATATCCTCGATGCTCGATGTTTGAAACTGGGACTCAGTTTGGTGAATCAGGAAACCAAATCTTTACCTGGCGGAATCAGTTTTAGCTGATAACTCATTTTTTCCTGGCTGAATTTAGCCTCAGACATTTCAGCGATGCAGTTTTTCCTTGAATGGATTCATTTCAGTTTTATTTTTTCAGAGAAGAATAATCATGCTTTAATCATCGTCAAATTATTATTTTTTTTTTTTTACCAATTTCTATATTTTATTAATTTAGTCTGAGTTATTATTTTCTGTTTGAAGCTGAATTACATTCTGCAGTAGATTTCTTTTTTATTCTTTGTCTTTTTGTTTATGTTTTGTTGTTTTAATATGGAATAAAACGAGTTGTAATAAATTGGGTTGTAATGTGAAAAATTGCAATATTCTGCAATAAACTGCTGAAATTATGCTATAATTTCCTCTTGAGTGCTTACTTGTGTAAAATTGAGTACATCTCAATAATTAATTTTCATTTTAATTGATAAATGGTAAGAGAAAACCTTTATTTCAAGTCTTTTTAAGAATTGATAAAAATAAAACATATTTTTGGCTCTGAAATTAATTAGATTTTTTTTCTTTACAAATTATGTCAAAATCAAACAAAACCTGAGTACAGAAAGTATTTTTTCAATAATTTCCTCAGGTGAAGAAAAGTTATGCAGCATGACTCAACATTAAAGTTAAGGTTTTGTTGTGGCCAAGTTAAAGTCTAGATTTTAATCTGATTGCTATGTTGTGTGATCTTTTCTGTTACATTTATTTTTGAAAAAAAAAATGAAAAAAAAAAAAAATTTAAAAGATGCAAGTAATGTCAACTATTTAAAAATAGTAATAACTATAAAAATATATATATATTATGTGCGATAAATAGTGTACTATAAAAACTGAAATGATTATTTCATTCCTTAGTGGGAGTGTTTGAGGAGAAAAATGCTAGTTTTAAAGTTATATTAGCCGCCTAGCATAGCCTAGCATACAACTACAGGCGACCTTAAAAATTCCAGTTGACACAATTTAGATTTGCCAAGACATATGATAAAGTAAAATATACATATATTAAAAATAAATCTGTATTGATATTGACCAATTATTTTAGCTGCCACAAAATTACCCATGTTTGTTTTATTTACTATATTTTTAATCAGGCAAAACGCATAGTACCAATACAACAGGGTCCTTCTTCGGTTAACTTGGAAACCATTCACCGATGTTTGTTTTGGAGTCATCAGTAGGTAAAATTCATCTTTTTACAGCCACATTTCCACCGTTTTGTGTCTATATCTGTTATTTTACCGTGTATGTTATTTGAAGTCAACATTGCCACAGCTTAGTGCGGATTCCCGGGGTGTATAAATGTCTGTTAATGTCGGTTCATACAATGACTTAGCTAATGCTAATGCTAACTTATGAATTTCTAAACACATTTTTACGCTACAACTTGTTGGTAGCACCCTGAAATGAAAGCACATCGACGAGTTTAGCTGTTAAGAGCTGAAGGAATTTGTCTTATTTCAGTGAACGTATCAGTTCAAGTCTGTGGTTAAAAGGCGGTTCGTTGGTTTGATTCCCGACTCTCCCTCACGATGCTAGTAAATGGTTTTGTCGTTAAATTAGATTTTGAAATAACAATTTTAAAAGATCCCCGACTTGTTACAGCTCTTACAGTTTAAAATAAATTTTTTGCGTGGTGATGGTTGATAGTTTGAAGAAGTGCTGCAGCGTCATTCCAGCTCTATATTATGATGTTGGATTGAATAGAACCGTGTGGAGTTAAAGTCCAAATTTTGTCTTTAAAACTGGTAGATTATTTTTTTACAAAATAAGGAATGACTTCTTTTGCTCAGGGATTTTTAGAAGTTGTTTTAATCAGCTGTTACATGTTAATATGTCAGGTTGCCACAAAAATTCTTCTGCTCTGCATCAAATTCAGAAATACTTCATAAAACCCACAAGGAAGGCAAATGTTTTTGAGACTCATTATTAACTAGAATCCATCAGAGAGTTATTGCATATGGTGAATTATTCTTGAAGAAAAATCACAATGAGTTAAATATTCACAATCATTGTTGGATTTTTGAACGATTTAACTTTTTTTAGTCCGATGAAGAAAAGCCCCAAAATCCAGTTTGTATCTGGTTTAATTTATCAGGTATGTTTTGACATACCATCTTAAGTTTAAGGATATTTTCCTGTTTGATTAATAAGCAATTCTCTAAAAAGGATTTGGTTCTGAAATTAGTATAAAAGCAGTGTGATATATTAGAATTTCACTCTTCTGAATAGTTTTCTGTTTTGTTGAAGAAAGTTTGTTGTTCTCCATCCTCAGTATGCCTGCTGAGAGCAAGCCCTCAGTAAACATGGATGAAAAAAACGTCAACTCCTTCACCAACAAAGAAAAAGAGAAGGACAAAGAGGCTGAACGGAGGGCTGCATCTGCTAGAGACAAGGCTAAAGAAGAGGCGAAAGCCGGTGGTAAAAAGGACACATGCAAGGAGGAGAAGAAAAAACGCCTAGAGGAGGAAAAGAAGAAGAAAGAGGAAAAGGAGCGAAGGAAGAAAGAGGAGGAAAAGCAGAAAGAGGAGGAGGATCAGAAGAAGAAAGAGGAGGAGGAGAAGAAGCAACAGGAGGAGCTGCAGAAGAAGCTCGAAGAAGATGAGGCCAAACGGCAGCGTGAGGAAGAGGCAGCGTTGCTCAAGTGAGTCATGATTAACTTCATTATGAAGAAGAAACCGAGTGATGGAGTCAAATTAAGTTTGGATTAATGCAGTTCATCAAGAAGATTTTATTAAGAGATTCTGCCTTTAATTTGTCTTATGAGTCAAACATAAAGCAGCTGCTAATTTTATTAAATCAACGAGTCACAAAACAGTTAAATTTTGGTTAGATGCATTTAAATCAAATCCATTAATTCTAAAATCAAAATAATGTCAGACTTTCAAATGTAAACATAAGATATATACATAAATTTAACATGCTTCTCCTGTATGGAAGCAGAAGACATGAGAGGTCTGGAAGATTGATGCAACAGCAGCAGATCTTTCAATTTTTAATCTTTTAATCTATAAGTTTCAAAATAAAACCAAGTGCTTTTGTCTAGTTTCTAATCCAAATGTGTTGGAACATTTGAAATAAGACAAAATTAACTAACAAAACACTTTTCAGCAAGATACAGGAGTTTGTCTTAAGTCAGTAATTCCTTAATATTGATAAAAAACTTCTTGTTCATTTGCCACATTATTTTACTTACAAGAAATTTTCATCATGTTTGTCGTAAAATAATCTGCAGGTGGAACTAGAACTTTTTCATCAAAATTATGGATTTGTTGACTTAAAACAAGCTCCTTTATATCACTGGAAAGTTACTTGTGAATTAGTTTTGTTGTATTTTCAGTGTAATAAGATATTTGCACTAGAAATTAGACCGTAAATAATTAAGATTTTGTGTTGTTTCAGTGTAATAAAAAACCCATAACTATTCTAACCCTGGTCCACCGTTGCCTCTCATCTTCAGGGAAAAGGAGGAGGGCCACCAGCTGCACCAGGAGGCCTGGGAACGGCATCAGGGCCGGAAGGAGCTCCGCAGCCGGAACCAGAACGCCCAGGAGGCCCGACCCGAGGAGGCCTTCTTCAGCCGCCTGGACTCCAGCCTGAAGAAGAACACGGCCTTCGTCAAGAAGCTGCGCACGCTGACGGAGCAGCAGCGCGACGCACTCTCCAACGACTTCGCCTCGCTCAACCTCAGCAAGTACATCGGCGAGGCGGTGAGCTCGCTGGTGGAGGCCAAGCTGAAGATTTCCGACGTGGGCTGCGCCGTGCACCTGTGCTCCCTGTTCCACCAGCGCTACGCTGAGTTTGCGCCGCTGCTGCTGCAAGCCTGGAAGAAGCACTTTGAGGCCAGGAAGGAAGACAAGTCTCCCAATGTGAGCAAACTCCGCACCGACCTGCGCTTCATCGCCGAGCTCACCATCGTCGGCCTGTTCACCGACAAGGAGGGGCTTTCGCTGATCTACGAGCAGCTGAAGAACATCATCGGGACGGACCGCGAGACGCACACTCACGTGTCGGTGGTGATCAGCTTCTGCAAGCACTGTGGCGACGACATTGCTGGTCTGGTGCCGCGCAGGGTGAAGCTGGCGGCGGAGAAGTTCGGCTTAGCGTTCCCGCCGAGCGAGATCATCAGCACCGAGAAGCAGCAGCCGTTCCAGAACCTGCTGAGGGAATACTTCACCTCCCTGACCAAACACCTGAAGAAGGATCACCGGGAGCTGCAGAACACCGAGAGGCAGAACCGGTCAGATCAGTCAATCAGTAAATTAATCTATCAAGTTTATTTGTGTAGCACATTTCAGCAACACAGCAGTTCAAAGGTCTTTTCATCATAATAAAGACAGAAATGTTAAAAAAGTAATAAAAACAACACACTGCCATCAATTTTGAAACTCCAAACATTTAATTTTATCAAGTACCATAGTTAAAATCAAAAACACACATGAAATATCTTGATCAATGTTCAATTTGTCACTTTTCCAAAGCAACCAAACTCGTGGGTTTTAGCCTAAATTTAAAGGAACTCAGTGTTTCGGCAGTTTTACAGTTTTTCTGGAAGTTGGTTCCAGATTTGTGGACCATAGAAGCTGAATGCTGCTTCTCCATGAGAGGTCTGGAAGGTTGATCCAGCAGCAGATCTTTAATCCGATCAGTGATTTATAAACTATCAGCAGGAGTTAAAGTCTCTTCTCTCAGAGCTGGGTGGCGTAGAGCTGGGTGACGTAGAGCTGGGTGGCGTAGAGCTGGGTGACGTAGAGCTGGGTGACGTAGAGCTGGGTGACGTAGAGCTGGTGGCGTAGAGCTGGTGACGTAGAGCTGGGTGGCGTAGAGCTGGTGACGTAGAGCTGGGTGGCGTAGAGATGGTGACGTAGAGCTGGTGACGTAGAGCTGGGTGACGTAGAGCTGGTGGCGTAGAGCTGGGTGGCGTAGAGCTGGTGACGTAGAGCTGGGTGGCGTAGATCTGGGTGACGTAGAGCTGGGTGGCGTAGAGCTGGGTGGCGTAGAGCTGGTGACGTAGAGCTGGGTGACGTAGAGCTGGTGGCGTAGAGCTGGGTGGCGTAGAGCTGGTGACGTAGAGCTGGGTGGCGTAGATCTGGGTGACGTAGAGCTGGGTGGCGTAGAGCTGGTGACGTAGAGCTGGGTGACGTAGAGCTGGTGACGTAGAGCTGGTGACGTAGAGCTGGGTGGCGTAGAGCTGGTGACGTAGAGCTGGGTGGCGTAGAGCTGGTGACGTAGAGCTGGGTGGCGTAGAGCTGGTGGCGTAGATCTGGGTGACGTAGAGCTGGTGACGTAGAGCTGGGTGACGTAGAGCTGGTGACGTAGAGCTGGGTGGCGTAGAGCTGGGTGGCGTCTCTATCCTCCTGGTTCTAGTCAGAACTCCAGCAGCAGCGTTCTGGACCGTTGGTTTGACCTGCTGCAGGAATCAAAGTCTCAGCAGAGAAACACCTGGATGAGTTTCTCTGCTGAGACTTTAGTCTTGAAAAACCAAAAATTCAGTTAATCAATGAAATTGATTAATCGCTCATGTTGCTTCATGTTTTTCTGCCAATCCGCCCGACTCATTTTAATCACTTCCCCTTTAAACTTTAGTTGCTTTTTCTTTCATTTTCAGTTCACTATCAGACGACTTTCTATTTTTTAAATGCTATCAGAATTAGAACTGAGCTTATCAACTCTAAGAAAGTTAACAGAAAAAGGGAAAGTAAATCAATTTTCCTGTTAAATGGATTTTTAAGCACTTTGACCCGAGCTGAGGTATTCTGTCGTTGGTTTCAGGCGGATCTTGCACTCCAAAGGCGAGCTGAGCGAGGATCGCCACAAGCAGTACGAGGAGTTCGCCACGTCTTACCAGAAGCTGCTGGCCAACACGCAGACGCTGGCTGACCTGCTGGACGAAAACATGCCGGAGCTGCCGCAGGACAAGACCGTGCAGGAAGGTGAGCGCCCAGCAGGGGGCGCCCAGCAGGGGGCGCCCAGCAGGGGGCGTTCAGCAGGGGGCGCCCAGCAGGGGGCGCCCAGCAGGGAGCGCCCAGCAGGGAGCGCCCAGCAGGGGGCGCCCAGCAGGGAGCGCCCAGCAGGGGGCGTTCAGCAGGGGGCGCCCAGCAGGGAGCGCCCAGCAGGGGGCGTTCAGTAGGGAGCGCCCAGCAGGGGGCGTTCAGTAGGGAGCGCCCAGTAGGGAGCGCCCAGCAGGGGGCGCCCAGCAGGGGGCGCCCAGCAGGGGGCGCCCAGCAGGGGGCGTTCAGCAGGGGGCGCCTTCAGCTGCATCAGATCAAGTTACTGAGAAATAGTAATTAGTTACTAATTACTGATGACTTCCCCAAAAAGTCATCCAGTTACTATACTGATAATTTATTCTCAAAATTGAGGGGTTGCTAGGTTACGGTGTGGAATTCTGCTGGGGTTGCTAGGTTACAGTGTGGAATTCTGCTGGGGTTGCTAGGTAACGAGGAAGCATCAGTGGAATGTGACTTAACAATCAGGAAGTTTTTGCAACAGCTTATTTTCCAGACACCAAAAAACTATAACTCATTGGCCAAAAAAAGGCATTTTATTGTAATTGTTTAGGGTTTTTGAGCTCTTGGTCTGTCTTTTAGAGGCTAATTAAAAGTATAAAAATGTGAATTTTGCATAAAAGTATCCTTCTCTGGATAATTTGGTTGGATGTAGCCCTGGCATCAGCTGTTCTCTTCCCCAGAGCACGGCCCCGGCATCGACATCTTCACCCCTGGGAAACCCGGAGAGTACGAACTGGAGGGCGGTATCTGGGAGGACGAAGACGCGCGGAACTTCTACGAAAACCTGATCGACCTGAAGGCTTTCATTCCCGCCATCCTGTTCAAGGACAACGAGAAGAGCGGCCTGAGCAAAGACAAGGACGACGCCAAAGGTACGTTTATCACTATTCTGTGGTTTCTTACTTTTATTTAATTATTATGAAGTATTGCTAGTCTTGAGTAAAATTTCTGGATTCTGTGAGTAAAAACTTATAAACTTTTTTTTAAAGTTCCGAAGTTTCATGTTAAAAAAACTTATTTGAAAAATATTAAATGATTGGTGATCAATCAGTTGTTCAGTATTTGAGTAGATTTTTGTTTAGAATAAGTTTGTTCTTCATTCAGTGAAGTTACTGTCAGAAATTTCATTCAAGAGTCGAGATACTTCACAACAAAGTGAATCAGGTGACAGTTAAATAAATACCGTGCAGTAAAAATACTTCCAATTACTCAAGTAAATGTAACTAGTTACTACCCAACTTTTGTCTTTGGCTAAAGATCATGAGCGACGTCTGCTGCGAGCGCTAGGCTAGCAAGTTTGTTGTGGTTGCATTTACCCAGGATGCCGTGCGTTTTAATTCACCTCCTGCTTTTGGAGCGATCTCTAATAGAGTTCACTTCAACCGAACCGAGATTTGTAGGCGAACCAGAGTTAGATCAGCATTCACACCTCAGCAGAACACACTGGACTTTCTGGACAAGCGGACCGGAGTCGGGTTGTAGCGGACCAATGGGGCCGGTGTGACTGATGCGCTGTGTTCCTCAGATGGCAGAGAAGGGAAGGATGTGAGCGCCACAGAAGACCTGGAGCTGGATCTGGAGGTGCTGGACATCGCAGACGAGCCTCTGGAGCTGGAGGGAGGAGACGAGGTGGAGAACGAGGAGCTGGCCAAGAAGCTGCTGGATGAGCAAGGTGGGAACTGATTCCAATCGGAGATTTTCCTGAACAATTCAACTGAAAAACACGTGGAAATGATAACATAATCTCACTAAACTGAAGTATTTCACAGATTATCAGTTGCTCCATTTAAATATCCCCTTTTTAATGTTATATTATCGTTTATGGAAATAATTTTTAGGACAATTCATCCATCAGATCCCTGATTTGTTCCTAGAACTGCAACTAACGATTATTTTATTAATTGATTACTCTGACAATTAATCTGATAACATTTTGCACATTCTTCAGATTTTTCATCCATTTTATACAATATTAAAAATACATTAATTTTCTTCCATTTTATAGAGAAAATTACAATTTTCTTGAATTAAATGCAGCAAAGGAAACACCTGCAGTCAAAGAAACCACACAAATAGTTCTTCTGTTTTTGCTTGACTTAACATCAGTACAGCGTATTTATTCATTAGATTAACTGATTAATAACACGACACAAAAGATGATTATTATAGTAGTATTTTGAATAAAAAGTCGGAAATTAAGTCTGATAGCAGATTTCACTGCATTTTTAGTTAATCTAGATTTTACACATTATTGTTGTTTTTTTGTGCAGAGCAAGAAGACGAGGAGGCCAACACCGGGTCGCACCTGAAGCTGATTGTGGACGCCTTCATTCAGCAGCTTCCAAACTGTGTCAACAGGGACCTGATAGACAAGGTGAGTTAATCTGAGGTTCAGACCTCAGATTAACTGAGCTGCAGCTGCAAACAGTCAATAAACGGCTGATCTGGACTCTTTCAGGCCGCCATGGACTTCTGCATGAACATGAACACCAAATCCAACCGGAGGAAACTGGTCCGGGCCTTGTTCACCGTCCCCAGGCAGAGGTGAGGTTCATACCTGGAATCGCCACACAAAGGCGCTGTCGCACCGTGTTTCTGTTTGGTGACCCGCTGATGTTTCAGGTTGGATCTTCTGCCTTTCTACTCTCGCCTGGTGGCGACGCTGCATCCCTGCATGTCAGACGTAGCCGAGGATCTTTGCTCCATGCTGAAGGGAGACTTCAGGTTCCATGTGGGTCGTTTTTCCATCATTAAACCTTTAAATTCACTGTAAATACAGAGACAAATGCACACGTTTCTGCAGATCTCAGTAACAGTTAAGCCTTTCAGGTGCTTGAAATACTTGAAAAATGCTTAAATGTATGTACTTTCATGGTTTGGAAAGTCCTTAATTTCTGTGTAAAGTTCCTGAAAGTGCCCTATATTCAAACTGCAGTTTAATTAAAAACAAAAAAAAAGTGCAATCTAACATTTGATTAAAAGCCTAAAGTAGGGAAATATTATTTGCAGTTTAAACAAAATGTTTTTGTTAAATCAGATAAAACTTGTTTTAGGTGAGACACAATTGCCAAAATTATTTTGCTGAAACCCAGAAAAATACCTGATTAGTCTGATTAATCAATTAATCAATAACATATTTTCTTATTTCTTGCATTAACATTTCCAAATGTACAAAACTCTTGTGCAGTAAAACACTAATATAAGTAATTGATTAATCTGATTAATCCTGTCTTCCCTAATCTCAAGTGTAGTTCTGGGAAAGTTTGAAAACTTCCCTGGAAATGCTTGACGGGTTCTTGAGTTTTACTGTGTAAATGTAGAAACCCTGCAATTTATTTAAATATAGAAAAACTTGAAAATATTTGCTTCGGTAAATGTTTGTCCCATTTTTAGATCCGTAAGAAGGACCAGATCAACATCGAGACCAAAAACAAAACTGTGCGATTCATCGGAGAACTTTCCAAGTTCAAGATGTTCTCAAAGACCGACACGCTTCACTGCCTGAAGGCGAGTCTGGACCTCCAAACGTCCAAACATGTTAATCAAATGCTTGATTAACGTTTCCGTTGTGCTGCACCCCATCAGATGCTGCTGTCTGATTTCACTCACCACCACATCGAGATGGCCTGCACGCTGCTGGAGACCTGCGGCCGCTTCCTGTTCCGCTCGCCCGACTCTCACCTGCGGACCAGCGTCCTGCTGGTCAGTCCCTCCCTGCGGCTCCAACGTTTCTGTCTTTATGAGCACAAAAACCAGCTGCTGCAAACCTGAACACAGATTAAATCTTAGTCTGCAGCAAATTTGCGCAAAACTTTCAGTGTTGGACAAAAAACATTTTGAATTGCGGTGTTTCTATTACACATTTTTTTGAAGGACAATTTTGTTTATGGAGACTTAATAATTCATTTTGCTTTGTCTATTTTGGATATTTAAAATGTCTGAATTATTTCCAGTTTCAGTGTAAAATGTTAGAATTTAAAGTTTGTTGATCTTTGAGAATTTTTTGTTGCATTTTGATGTCTTTATTTCCATTATATCACTTGAAAATGGTCTCAAAACAATAACACTATTGTTTATCGTGTTAACGTCCAGGACAATTTATCGTCCAGCAAAATGTTGAAAATAAAAAATCAGTTAAAGTGTTTTATTTTTCTTAGACCAAGTCATTTCAGCAGATATTCAGCTTAAATTGTCTCTCCTCTGCAGGAGCAAATGATGCGTAAAAAGCAGGCGCAGCACCTGGACGCGCGCTATGTCACCATGGTGGAGAACGCCTACTACTACTGCAACCCGCCGCCCATCGAGAAGGCTGTGAAGAAGAAGCGGCCGCCGCTGCAGGAGTACATCAGGAAGCTGCTGTACAAGGACCTGTCCAAGGTCACCACGGAGAAAGTGCTGCGGCAGATGCGCAAGCTGCCGTGGCAGGAGCCCGAGGTGAAGGGCTACCTGATCTGCTGCATGATCAACATCTGGAACGTCAAGTACAACAGCATCCACTGCGTGGCCAACCTGCTGGCCGGCCTGGTGGCGTACCAGGAGGACGTGGGCATCCACGTGGTGGACGGCGTCCTGGAGGACATCCGGCTCGGCATGGAGGTACGCTCACACAACTGCCTCCGTATCATGGTCTGCGTTTCATGACCAACTTGAGGAAAAGTAAATGTTTTCTCTTCATTACTGCTCTGAAGAAGTCCTCTCAGTAAATTCTGTTTCTTTGAGTCTGTACATTCTAGTTAATGATTAATTTAAATTACTAATTGATTATTTCAATAATAGGTAAATCACCATTAATCCGATTCATCGTTCAGCTCCACATGCTCCTTTATTAACAATTCTGTGTTAAAATGTCTCTTCTGCATTGAAAAGCACCGATAGACGTGTAAAAACAGAAACTATTCCAGGTTTCCTGAGCAGTTTCCGTTGCAAAACGGAAAATTTGAAGCCTGAGTTTCACCTGGAATATTTCAGCTGCACATGAAGAGCCGTCTGCACATTACTGCACGCATTAAGCATCCACCCTGCGCCACCCAATGGAAACACTGAGCCTTTTGTCCGAGCCTGTTGACAGTAACTACAGTATGTTTACTCAAACTGTGATTTTAGACCACAGCCTAAAGGATTTGCAAAATGATCCCAGTGAGAACTTTGCTGGACTTTGGTTAGATTTCAATAAAACGTGGAAAGTCTTGTCACTTCTTTATTTTCTGTTGGATTTAAACACCTGCTGTACATTTCTCAGAATGAAAAACTTGGATCTGTGAAAATCAGAACCTGTATTTCAGATAAAACCAGAAATTTGAATCTGTCAGAAAAATCCAGCTTGCATCTTTTCCACCTGACATCTTACTGAGCTGAAGAGACTCGGTGCAGATCCAGCCTTCCTGCTCGATTCAACATCAACACAGTGCAGGGCTGATCAGTTTTAGATTCACTGGCTCACAAGGCGAGGAGATTTGAGAAAGAGGAGATTTCTTTACAGAATTTGAAGCTAAAACTTCAACTTAAGGTGTTGTGGGTAGAAAATATTAAGTTTTTAAAATTTTGAAAGCAAAATGTTTTTTTGTGCAGTTTTACCTTAATTACTTTTGATTGTCTTTCTTGTTCACCATATTGCCTTTATTTGAGGATTTACACTTCAGTTAATGATTAATTGATTTCTAAATTACTTTACAATTATTTTAAGAATTGATTAATCACAATCAATCCCATTAATCATTTCAACCTACATGTTTTTTTCTTTTTAACACTTCCAAATATAGAAAACTTGCTCTTGTTCAGTAACAGACGTGTGAATGACCCAGTTAACAATTAATTGTATTTTCATAGTATTTTCTATATTCTGCCTTCTGAAAGTGAAACTCTAGATAATTTGACATCAGCTGGGAACAAAAAGATGGAAATGAAGTCCGAGTCAAACCTTCAACGTTGCAGTTAATAATGTGGCTTCCCCACAGCATGATGCTGCCACCACAGCCTTGATGGTTTGCTGTTTCCAGGTCAACCAGCCCAAGTTCAACCAGCGGCGGATCAGCAGCGCCAAGTTCCTGGGTGAGCTCTACAACTACCGCATGGTGGAGTCGGCCGTGGTCTTCCGGACCCTCTTCTCCTTCATCTCCTTCGGGGTGAACCCGGACGGCACCCCCAGCCCGCTGGACCCGCCCGAGCACCTGTTCCGCATCCGGCTCGTCTGCACGCTGCTCGACACCTGCGGCCAGTACTTCGACCGCGGCTCCAGCAAGAAGAAGCTCGACTGTTTCCTCATCTACTTCCAGGTCGGCTCAGCGCCTCCCGCCGCTAACATGCTACCAGAACCCACTGGGTTCTTACCGGGCTTCGGTCTGGGAGAATTTGGGGTTTTCAAGGTCTGGAAAGTCCTTGAAAGTGATTCAGATTCAACAGGAGCAGTTTGATAACAAAGTTCAATCTCACGCTTAATTAGAAACATCAATTTGAAAACAAATATTTAAAATCAGAATCAACTTTTCTCAGTTTGGATCAGTGAGAATCACCCAAATTATTTCTGTTTGCTAAATGGAGAGAAAATCTCTTAGAGATTGTTTGTAACTTTCCCTTTATTTATTTTTGTTTAATTTAACCAGAATTGATTTAATCCTCATTCAGAATTTTGTGTTTATTCCTTTAATCTGAGGAGAAAACAATTCATCATTTCATATGAATTATTTCATTGTAATAAATATTCATAATTGCTCAATAACTTATTGTCTTACATTTTATATGTCAGAAAACATTTGTTTGTTAAACAGCAGAAAGGAGAATACAGCCACAAACAGATTAATAACAGTCATAAATGATGGCAGATGAATTCAAACAGTTTTTGTGAACCTTTCTGAAGGTTTAATGAGGTTTGTGTTTCTGCAGCGGTACATTTGGTGGAAGAAGAGCGTGGACGTTTGGACGAAGGACCACCCGTTCCCCATCGACATCGACTACATGATCAGCGACACGCTGGAGCTTCTGCGGCCCAAGATGCGGCTCAGCTGCTCGCTGGACGACGCCACCCGGCAGGCGGCCGACCTGGAGAAGGAAGTTCTCGTCAAACTGGGTGAGGATGAGTTTCCGGACGACGTGGTTTGGCTCTGCAGCTGGTTCCTCTGGTTTCCTCCCAGCAGAGCCGCATTCCGCAGGAGGAGGAAACGTTTGCATACCAAACGCATGCGCTCACCTGACGGTTCCGTCAGCACGCAGCATCTGGGATTAAATGTAATCACGTTTATGAATTATTTTATTCCAGCTGCGTCACCAAAATAGAGATTACTCATCGAAAATGGATTTAAGTGCTTTGTTTTCATCTGAGTAACACGAGCTGGTCGTCATTAGCTCCGAGTTTTAGACTCGGTGAGACAGTTTTCCCTAGAAAACCAAGTTCAACGCAGCAGAACGACGTCTTTAAACGAGAGACAGAAAAATCTGGCAGGAAAATCTGCATTCCTCTCAAAGTGAAGGCAGAGAACGAAGGTTGAGTGATGTGAAATCAGATGGAAACATTATTACATCTAGAACTAGAGCTGGAACATTTATTTTGTTACTGACAGAACTACAAATAATGCTCACATCAGTAATCGATTGTTTGACTATTAATCAGTTAATCAGATTTTTTTGGCACGTTTTGCTGATTTTTAATTAATCCACCTGATACAATACAATATTAGACATGTTATTATTAAGCATATTGAAAAGGAATGCAGCACATTGGAGTTTTGTAAGTTTGCAGTTTGTTGATGCATAAATTTCATAGCAAGATTTCTTTTCAACAGGAAAATCTTTGCCCTTCAATATTCCGTCTAATTTATTCAGAGATCCTTCAACAATCCGACCGTTTTATTTATTTTAGAAAATGTGGAGTTTTTGTGAAACAAGAAAGAAATCTGTGAATTTACTCCTGCATTTTTAAATTAGATTTTTGTAAACCTTCACTTCTTCCAAATTGAACATTTTTTCCTTCTTGGCTGAAAGTTTGGACACCCAGAATCTGGAAAGGATCCAGAACAACAACCAGACTTTCCTGCAGATTCACCTGCAGATTCACCTGCAGGTCAGAAGGTGCAAAACCCAGAAAGAAAACAAAAAACTCTGAAGTCAAAGGTTAAAGTTTATGACAGGATCATTTAAAAATGAATGGCTTGTTCTGATGAGAGTGTGATGGTTTGGTACCTGCTGTGTAAAACCCCAGGTCAGGATGAGGGTGTACTTTCTTTTTAGCGTGGCTGTATTTATAGACAGCCTGGTCTGGTTTAGTTCCAGTCTGTCGGAGGTGAAAGGGAAGAAGGAAGCCATTCTGCAGCAGGTGTATCTGGCTCTGCGACTCGATGACAGCATGAAAACTCTGCTTTGTTCCGCAGTTTCAGTGTGTTGCTCTGGAATGCAGAGAAAAATGTGAGCTCCACCCTCTGAGAAAGTGACTCAATCAAACTGGAGTTAAATTTGCTCAGAGGAGGAAAAGCTACCTCTAAATCAGACCATAAATACTCCTGCCAGGGATGAAAACAATTAATCCACTTGCGGTTAAATTCCTGTGAAGAAAAATAGATAGAGAAAAAAATTAAAGAAATTAAATTACAAAAACAAAGTCACAATTTTATAATAAAGTTAATAAAATATGAAAATAGTCATAATACTAGAGAATGAAGCAATAATATTGCACCTTTATCATAATTTTGACCTTTTTCTCATATTATTTAGAGTTTATTCTTTTACGACTTTGTTCTCAAAATATTATGACTATTTTCATTCTCTTGACTTTATTCTCTGATTATTTTGACTTCTCATAGTCATTTTCTTGTTTAGCAGTATGGCCCTTGTTCTTCGTTGTATTTGTCGATTTGATGGTTTACTAGATTAAAATGAATTCCTATCGATTAACTAATAACATCTGCTTAGGTATTATTTTATTGTTGTAGTTTTGCCGCCATCCAGCAGAGGGCGCCGCTGCTCATAAACGGAGCGGTTAATATTGAAACAAGATGGCGGAGTTAGCAATTTAGCAATACCTTCTCTTTCTAGTTCCCTGAACTAGAAAAACGGTCCAAAGTTTGAAAGTGTTCTTGATGCGGTTCTGTTTCGAGATATAATGCTCTTAAGATGCTTGTTTCACCTTTAATTGTCGTCATTCAGCCTCTTGATGCAACAGAAAACCTTTAAGAAAATGGCCGCCTATCAATTAACCATTGATCCATCAACTTTAATTCATAAATTGATAACTTGCATCTCCAGCTTTTGGAATTATTAGATAAGAGACGCAAAAGTCAGACTTTTAAAAAATGTATTGAAAGATTTGTTGAAGTAGCAGCGCTCCCTAAAGAAGTTGTAAGAAGTGAGGAAGCGGTTTGCATGTTTACCCTGTAACTTTCCACGGCCGGTGTTGGTGAATGTTTTGGTGGCAGCATGAATGCTGAAGAGCAGAGAGTGATTTATGGACATTCCTCAGGCCTTCAGACACACCAGACCTAATCTGCTGCCTCCCATCGAGTCGTTACGCCTCCCCTCTGTCAACAGCTTTAGTTATCAGATGTTGATGCTTGTTCAATGTGTTCATAGCGTGTGTGTGTGTGTGTGTGTGTGTGTGTGTGTGTGTGTGTGTGTGTGTGTGTGTGTGTGTGTGTGTGTGTGTGTGTGAAGGCATGGCCATGGAGAAGGACGGCCGCTCCAGCGCCATGAGCGAAGGTGAGCCGCTCGATGAGGAGGACGAGGATGAGGACGAAGATGGAGCCGCTGACACCGAGGAGCAGTCGGGCAACGAGAGCGAGATGAACGAACAGGAAGAGGATGTGAGTCCATCTGGTTGCTCTGGTGACATATCAGCGTTTACGTCTCGCTGTGGAGAAGTGAGGCGGTTACAGTTTACATTTTCTGTCTTCGTTTCTGTATTTACTGTGAAGATAAAGCTTCACATAAGTCTGTTTTTCTCTCTTTCTTTGTTTCTTCATTTTCTTGTTTCGGTAACAATCAGGTTTTTGTCTCCACAGGAAGGATCTGAGAACGAGGAAGAGGAGCGAGAGGAAGAGGAGGAGGAGAACACGGATTACCTGACCGACTCCAACAAGGAGAACGAGACGGACGAGGAGAACAATGTATTCATATGACCGATGGGCTGGCGTCATGGTGGACGGTCTTTGTGTTAAATCGGGTTTCTTGTTGCCAGGAAGTGACGATCCGCGGCGGAGGACTGAAGCATGTCGCCTGCGCTGAGGACGAAGACTTCATCCAGGCTCTGGATAAGATGATGCTGGAGAACCTGCAGGTCTCCTCTCCTCCTGTCCTTCCTGTGGGAAGCGCCAACTCTTCCTGCCTGCTGACTCTCCACTTCCTGCTTGTGGTCTCTGCAGCAGCGCAGCGGCGAGGCGGTGAAGGTGCACCAGCTGGACGTGGCCATCCCGCTGCAGCTGAAGAGCCAGCTGAAGAAGGGCGGCTCCGGCCAGCAGTGCATGGGGGAGGGAGACTCGGACATCTCCGACACCATGCAGTTCGTCATGCTCACTCGCAAGGGCAACAAGCAGCAGGTGAGGAAACGACCTCTGACCTGAAGCATAACGATTCTCTTTATGCTGATGATTCTTTTCTTTTTGTTTCAAATACTAAGATAATACTCACCCTATCATTTATTTTGTTAACATTTCCATAGAAACACAATGCTGAGAAAACCAAAACTAATGCAGCAGAAGGTTTTCTGTAACATGAACTAATGTATGGAAGTAATGAGCAACAGCATGACATGGAAAGTCCTTTATTACATTTATTTAGTGAATTTTTTTAGAAGTCATTTGGAAAAAAATTGAATATTTAGATTTTTTTTAATATGAACTAAAAGATTTTTGAAAATATTTAATATTTCAGTCGTATTTGATATTTCAGCTTTTTTGTTATATGATAACTCTCACAACCGTAAATGTTATTTTTTACACATGTTTTATTTTAGTATTATATTCAAATGTATTATTTTTTATTGATGCTTTCAATGAGAAAATTGTCAAATTAAATTCCAAAAACATGGGCAGTTGGTTAAAACAAAGATAATGATGTTTTATGATTTAGACATAATTTTTTGGAGTTTATTGTTGTAATTATTGTTAAAATTATTATGAAAAGATAAATGCCCACCCCAGTGTGACATAATCAGCAAATAAATGTTAATAACTTGGATACATAATAAAGTAAAATAAAGTTTAGGACCGAGCAGTGAGCCTTGTGGGACTCCATCCCACTAAAGTCTGAGATGTTTAGGAAGATGATTTAGATTGAATGTTTTCGCCGCTCTGCTGATGTCTCCAGTTAAATATCTTTGTGTTAAATGTCCGACCGGCTGCCGGGGAGAAACCTGCGGTTTGAGGGTTAGGGTGTGTCCGCCTCTGCCGTCCAGAGTTCGCTCCGGTTTGCCGTCAGCGCGGCGTGAACACAGAGCTACTTTGTGGTTTTCAGCGTGGAGAGGAAATGACGTTTGTTCCTGGGTAAACACTGTAACTGCAGCTCTGAGCTCCGCTTGTCCGCTCGGCGCTGAAGGAGACCTTTCAGGGAAAATCTGGAGCTTTCAACTCTGAGTCGGTTTATTGTTGAAGATTCTGCTGGATGCGTCTGTGTTTCTGTTAGCATCAGGCTAGCAGTTTCCCTTTGATTCCAGTCTTTAAGCTAAGCTAACAGGTTGAGAAGGAGAATTGAGGCTCCTGCACAATAAATTAGAATAGGCTCAATAACTATTAATAATTTATATGTTTTCTGTTTTCTCTCTTTCTATCAAAAACTGGATGACAAAAATCTGTTGCTTTCGTCTCAACTAACCCTTTTTTAAAAAGACGATCTGATTAATTTTTCAACTGTAACAAAATTTAGACTTTTGAAACTGAGATTTCAAGGTTTTTATGGAAAATTTCAGAGATAATTCTGAACTTCATGAGTTTTTTTTCCCTTTTTCTGTGTTTTCTATCTGTAACGTCCCTTTTATGGCATCGTAACGTAACTTCCTGTTTCACTGACAGTATAAGATCCTGAACGTCCCTTTGTCGTCTCACCTGGCGGCGAATCACTTCAACCAGCAGCAGGCGGAGCAGGAGGAGAGGATGAGGATGAAGAAACTCACCCTGGACATCAACGAGAGGCAGGAGCAGGAAGACTACCAGGGTACACATGTAGCTATGTAGCGTTAGCATCTGCTTTTTCTTTATGTGACCAACAGTTTGGAATTAGCTTATTTTTTATTTGTTTTGTTTAGCTGTTTGTTGTTAGCTTCTGCTATTTTTGTATGTTTAGCATTAGCGTAGCTAAGACTCTTAGCTAAGTGTATTAGTTGTCAGTGAACATAAGCAGCATTAGCACCTGCTATTTTTTTAAAATGTGTTTTGCAGTTTAGCATTAGCTTGTGCTGTTTTATTTTGTGTTTAGGTTTAGCTTATGCTATGTTTTGTGTCTAGCAGCTTAGCATTAGCTTCTGCTATTGTTTGTATTAATGATTCAGCTTTTGCTTGGCGAAGACACTGAACTAGATTAGTAGTTAATGCGCCTAACAAGGAAATGGAGCAACTTATTTCCTGAAGCATGACCCGGTTTAGCTGAGAACATGAATCTGGAACCTGTCAGCCTGTCACAATCTTTTCTGCATTTCTTCTTTCATTTTATCTTCTTTTGTGTTTCATTCCTTCGCGTTCTTCAGAGATGATGCAGTCGTTCGCCCAGCGTCCGGCTCCGGCCAACACCAACCGGGAGCGCCGGCCGCGCTACCAGCACCCGAAAGGCGCTCCCAACGCCGACCTCATCTTCAAAACCGGAGGAAGGTGAGACGTGCTAACGGAGAGAATGTTCCAGCTCAGGGTGTGATGTCTGAATCGCCTCCTGGTGTCTGTTTTAGCAGAGAGAAAAGGGCGAGAATTGAAAAGCATGAGGTCCAAGGCAGGCAGAGAGACAGAGACAGGAAAGCCAAGCAGCAGAGACAGCAGGGACAAGCTGTGGAATAAAACCTTGAACACTCAGAGACAAAGACTTAGATCGTTTTATATTTTCACATTTGGTTTTTTACATTTCAGATTCTTTTTAAAATAAAAGCAGGTTCAGCAGCAACAAGCTGCATCCGTTGTGTGTTGGATTCACTGCAGCAGGATCCAATAAAACTGATCTGTTCTTTATCAGCTTCCTCACTCATTCTTTATTCAAAAGAGGAAAAACAAGTAAACCTTTAGTGCTTCCATTGGATTTAAGGAGGAAATTATGGCTGCCATTTCCAGCCTTTTAAATTATTGCCATGATTGGTAATAATTTTTCCTCATTGGATGAATTTATCAAAATTCAAATAACTTCAAAGTAATATGTAGCAAAATCAGAAACTTAGGACTTTCCTGACACCAGTTGTCAACTGGAAGGAAGTGATGTCATCTTGGTGGTTAGCATTAGCTTCCACTATTTTTTTGTGGTTTAGTTTCTGCAATATTTTTCTGTTAGCTGCTGCATACTCTTTTTTGTGTTTAGTGATGTCGCCTTAGATGGCACAAATTACTTATTTTAGCAATAACTTCCGCTAATTTTTTTTGTTTCTGGTTTGTTTTGCATTATTAGCATTAGTTTATCTGAGACTTTTCAGTACCGGATTAACGTACCTAACGTTTTTGTCAGCTGAGTTCGATTGGCTGCAGCTCCTTCCTACTTTATTGCAAACAGATGCTCTCTCAACAATGACGGCCATTTTGAAAAAGAAAAACATTTTCAGTAGTTCAAAATATGCATGCAATGATTTGACTGCAAACACATTCATCTAATTGCCGATTTTAGTGCAATTAAAATTTCCATGACAGCCATCATCTTGAAACCTAAAAAAAATAAAAAAGAAACGTTCCTCAACGACCAGCTTGAAAAATGTCCGCCATATTAACTTTTCAAGTGGCTAACTGATTTTTTTTTTTTTTTCAAAAAAAGTAAGCTCTTGAGCTGAAATATTTTATCTTTTGCCATTTATCAATCAACACAAACATTACAAAAAACAACCAAAGGAACAGTCGAGGTCAGTCATGTGACTCCAGGGTCACATGACAAGCTTCATACTGATGCCAGATGGCAGCCAAATCCTCAAGTCCAAAAACTCTAATCCTGGGAACAACAACGTCCCAAACTCATTTCAATTCCCAGTTACAGGAGCAGAAAATTAGGAGGTAAGTAACATGTAAATTCAGAAAAAATTTGAAAAAAACTACATCTTAAAAAAAAATACAATAAAAATCAAGTTGTTGCAATGGTCCAATCAAAGCCCAGACAACAGATGGAGATCTGGAGAGGTGCGGCAAAAGTAAAGGAGGTGGATTATCAGAGCCGATTTCATCCACAACATTAACAGTCTGAATTTTAAGCTATTAGCTTGCAGCAACAGTCTTCAGTCAGAGGCCTCTTCAGATTAGTTGCGACACTGACTGCTACCATCCATGCATCCCTCAAACACAAATGATGCAAACTCCAAAAAACGTTGCACACAATTTTTTAAAAAAATGAGTTTTGTTGACTTATGACTGATTTGTAAAAGTCAAAAAAGGGAAAAAACTTCCAACGGGTTAAATAACTTGAAATCAGCAAACAAGATATTTACCAAGTTTTAGCTAAAACTTGCAAGTTGAAAATTTAACAAAACATATAAACGGGTACATTCTCGTTTACAAAAGTTTTATCTAAAACTAGCCAACAGTTGGTTAGTAATAAATAGCTTAAAAAGGTCTAGCATAAATGACAGCCAGTACATAACGCTCAGTGGCCCCTCCAGGCCACTAGGGGGAGTCTAGAGCAGGTGATTTTGATCCCTATACACATGCTGCTGCTCTGTAATAATTTTTGTAGTCTTGATTAATCTGGTTAATCGCTTCATTCCTAAATTTGACAAAAAATTTTGTCACGTTTCCATTAAGCTAATTTATTTTCCTAATTCTAGTTTGGAGACGCAGCTGACTCTCTTCTTGTGTTTGCAGGATTTGTTTGAGTCTAACAACCTAAACGCTGAAATGCTTAAATTGCAGTCGTGTTGAAAGTTAATGGAGGGAAAGCGAACGTTTGGACCCGTATGTGGGAAATAAAACTGTTTCCTGCTCGCCGACAGTAACTTCCTGTTCCGTCCTGCAGGAGACGCTGATGGGAGACGGCGCCGGGCCGAGCGAGCGAGCACCAGAGAGAGAGAGAGGGAGGGGACAGCGAATCCCTCAGACACCGGGTCGGACCAGAACCCCCCGGACCTGAACACACACTGTTAGCAAACCCAGGGAGGAGAGGTCAAAGGTCAGGGCTCAGACAGGAGGCTCTCTTCCTTTTTGCCTGTTGTCTGAAGAAAAACCCGGCAGCGGTCGGGTTTGGAGGACGGACCGGACGCGGCGGCGGAGCGTCGGTGTCACCGGGTTGAAGATAAATAAACCGATTTAAGGAGAACACGTCTGCATCTTCTTCTTCTACTGTTTCCTGTGTGCACGGATCCTGCTGAGACCGTCTGACTGATGCCAACGCAGGAACCTTTTGATTTCCCGGCAAAACGAAGGTTTTCAGTTGAATCATGAAGCAGAAATATTAGAGAATAAAAATCACCTTCCAGAGGTTTTAATCTGCTGAATAATTCAGAAAATCGCTTCGGACTTCATCTGCATCCATTTTTAATTCCTGTTTCTCCCATGATTTATTTCAGTTTAAAAGTATTTGTTTATTAAAATATTTGATACTTTGCACAGATTTAAGTTTTCTGCTTTTGTTTCGTTAAAATTTGACGTTTCTGGATCAGTCATGATCCTCTGGAAGGTTTTAGCAGGTCGAAACTTTGTGATTTTTCCATTTATTTGAATTTTCTGTGTTCAGTCAGACAATGTGCAGAAATGGCGGCTAACCGTCGGTTGCGGTTCTGAAGTTTAGGGGACTGGAGGTTTTTTCATTTGGAATATTGATTTCAATTATTTGATGCAATTTACTGACGGGAAGTTTATTTCCTTTTAAATGACAAAAAGTGACCAGATCCCGTCAGCTAAAGCCCAGCAGATAACAATGGTGCAAAAGCAAAGGAGGTGGATTAGCAGATGGTATTCTGTGGAATGTCATCTCTGCTGAACGTATATTGAGCTTTTAGCATGTCATGATCAGGGCGGCTAATCGATTTTATCAATACATAGATCAAATTTTCTGTTTTTTGTGATTTTAATTGAATGTAATTTTAATTATTGTTTCCATAGTTCAGTGATGTCAGAGCTCGCAGGGCGGCCATCTTGAATCCTAACTCGCAGAAGGGATGATTGAAATAATCTGTCATCTGTAATTTCTTTTTTAGTAAAGAAAGTGAGGGAAAAAAGTTATTAAAATCAGATTTGGTAGGAAAAACTTAATTTTTAAGTCATATTGCTCACTCTCAGTCAGGCCTTTTCAGATTCACTGTAACACTGACAGCTACTGGAGCATCATCATCCAGAGCATCTTAGACTTGGATGATATAAATTATAAAGGCGTTTATTTTTTGCGGGGGATTAATAGTTTTAAATTGCTTTATTGGATTAACTCTTTTTCAGAAAAGTTGAAAACAAACTCAAGTTAACAAA